CCCCGGGTGACATGTCTCTCGAGGGTGTTTAATTAAAGGTTTCCAGATTGATTTCCCTGTTGGCTGTAACAATTAACGATTGGTGTTCGACTGCTGGAATGTGTTTACATTATATGTATCTATTTCTGACGATTGCCGTGCACTTTAAAGATATTTCTCTTCATTCTAAACATATTCTTCTGATCACGATATATAGATATATTTTGTTTGTTGGCAAGCTGCTAAACATCTGCTGGCCTACCCCACTGGTAATGTTTTGTTGTTTTCCGCGGGTGGACGTGAAATTCGTTTATTTGCTGACAAATGTTTGCAGCTTAGCATTTTGCCATTTGCCATTTGCTACTTGCCACACATTTGGCGCAGTTGGAAGCGTGTGCTGCCCCTCGCCGCACCCTGCCACAATGTTTGTCCAACAATAACCGCCACCACAGAGCAGCCACAGCTACACTTGGAAAAACTTTACAATTATGTTCAAAACTGATACACAAAATATACTGATATCGGGCGCCTGTTTTTGCCGAGTGTAAGTGTAAAATGCTGGCTTCAGTCCGAAGGCAACCAGCTGGAGAGTTGTCGGACGAGTCGCCTTGCAACAGTTTTCTTTGTTTTCGCTGCTTGCGTTTTGGTTTGGTTTACTTTTTGTGTAACAAGTTTGCATATGTAATTAACCAGCAGTCAGGCAGTCAGTAGTCAGTGGAGTGCGAGTGCGAGTGCGGGTATTAGTAAATATAATTAAAAAATAAATTGGAATTTGTGTTGAGCAAACACCCACCCAAACCACGCTGATGCAAGCAGTCCACGGCATGGCCGAAACACACAACACAAAATTCTATCAGAGCAACAAACAAACGACTTGGGCGCAAAACTTGTCAGTTTTAAATGACTCACTTTCATCTTTGACGCCTGCAAGAGTTCTGTGTCGGGCCGCGCCTGACATTGACCTTGGAGTGGGCTGAGAGCATTATTTTCTAATTAGCAAATAGCCGGAGGAGGAGTCTTGCCTTGTCCCCACCACTTGACAGAGTTCTCAAGTTTGTCTTTGATATTATCGCGATCTGAGTCGGAAGCTTATTGTTCTCTGGTTTTTCGATTTTACCCCTTTGGTGCTTTTTACGGGTATTGTTATGCTTCTCTTATCATTCTCTTTCTGATCACTTTGGCCAAGTCCATTAAAAGTGAGTAAATTAAACGAAATTATATATTTTGTCAAGAGTAAAGAATCGCTAGAATAATAACAATATCGGGTTTACTGAACTGGGCGTGGGGGGAAATATGATGTCAGAGGTAGGAAATGAGTTCTGCCTGGACGAGCATCTGGGAATTTATGGGGTTACTCAGGCCACACGCCTTGTCACTATACTTCTAACCAGCCGGCAGGTAATCGCTGTGGGAGTGTCTTCATTTCGGGCTTTTATTACCCTTGATGGGCGATAAAACAAAAATGCGAAATTGATTGAGCAATTGTAGAGTGCTTCTCACGGGTTTGTTCTTCCTTATGTTGGAATGCAGATTTAACCAGAAAATATAAACTAATGCTCCACCAAAGCATTGCCATAGCAGTGCTTTCAGAACTGCCAAGCAAGCAGTGCTTAGCGGCTGTCAAACTGTTACAATCGAAACTACGCCACAAAACTGTAAACTGCAGCGGACGACCTTCAATCAGAATTGAAGAAGCGGCAACACAAAATACAAAAGCATCTGCGAATGGTGCATGGCGTCGGAGAGCGGCCAGCCGAGAAACTTGATTAAAGTTAAGAAAAGAAAAAAAACGTAAAGTTCAACTTGTTTCTACCATCATTTGTTGCTCTTTTCCAGTGCTTTTGTTGCTATTGTTGCTGCTGCACTTCTGTTGAGGCTTTTGCGCCACGGCTTGACATTTCGCACAAACTACAAAAAAACGAGCGCTGGCACTGCAGCATTTCATGCTTTTATTTTCGCAATTTGTTGCAACAACTATATGTAGTATGTATATCCATCCATCCCCACCCCAATGGGATATAATGAATCTGAAAATGCTCATGCCATTGTCACTGGCATAATTAGCTGGATGCTCTCCCAGTCAGGCCCCACCAATCGGCCAGCAATTACACGCCGAAAGATGCGCGCCATGCGAAATCAGCAGCGGTCTGCACCTCCACCAGCCCAGCGAGACAGCAAGTTTGAAATTCTTAGCTGAAAAAAACCTGTAAATGTCAAACTGTCAGGTAAGCAGTGGAACGTAATAAGGCACAGTGGTTGATGCTTTGAAGGTGTTTGTTGCACTTGCGATTCTTTCATGTTAAATGGAAACAAAAGAATATTCAAAAATATTAATAAGATTGGAGCGGAAAAGATCTCAAAATCTAGTTTGGCGTTTAATTTATTCACTTTTAATCACATTGAGATCTACGTTTTAAATTATTGAATCTGGTTAGTTTAACTAGAACCTAGGCCGACTCCACTGTGCGGCCCGAACAGCAGGGCACTTGATGTGACCAGGGGCCCAGTACAAGTCCACCTAGCCCCACACCAATCGCCGATCGGCAACTGGAAATGGTATTGAACTGAACACACAACGCCCCATTGTCGTGGCTATTTTAGATGGTCTTCGGTCTTCGCTTTGGCAAATGCCAAATGCAGCCGACAGTTTGAGAGGAACTAGCTTAGAGCAGTCCAGGCGGGCGGCGGCAAAGTTAAAACAGATTTTGAAAGCCATTGTCAAAGGGGGCAGACGAAACGAGGGACTAACTCAATGGGGCAAGAATAGGCTTTGCCATCGCTTGTCATATTGAGACTTGAACAAAGACTAACAAAACTACAAAAATAAACTTCTAGATTATTGTATTGAAATTTTTACTTAAACATGTCGCAGGTTAGCTAGCCGGTGTCCACATTGGAGAACAGGAAAGGCAAGAAATATGAGGATAAACCAACCCGTGGGATGTTTGAGCTTTTATTTATACGGTCTGGGCTATCCAAAGTGTAACGGCCTTGTGGGGACGGTCATCAGTGATTCCACTCAGGCAATTACAATAAATTCCAATTGCGATCGATAGGCTTATTTATGCGACAGTAGCCCGAAGGTGATCCTCACCTAGTGTAAACTTCTGTCTAGAAATAGGCAAATGTGTCACGACACATAAACGAAATCCATTCATTTGATGGCTTTTCGATTTTGGGTCAAGTGCACACACAGAATGCTAATGAGATGGATCCGAAATGGGACAAAAGAGATAATTTGAATAAAAGAAAATTAATTGTATTCACTCAAATCAGATCTGCAATGCCCACTTTAGAAACATGGAGCGATAGTGCAGAGTCAACGGCAGAGTAGAGCGAACGATTTGATCTACCTTTTGCGGATTAGAGTTTGTAGGCTTGGGAAATACACAACAACTCTTGCCCAATCGCAGAAGGAAAATTTAATTATTAAATATATTTATATTATTATCAATGGGATACGAACTCGGGACTCTTTGCTTTCAAAATCAAACAGAACAGAACACAAAGTGTACGCGGAACTTAGAGGGCAGCGCCATCAAACGAAGCCGTCTGACGTCTGCCCAATGGCCACGTGATCTTATGAGCAAGCAGTGTAAGAATGAGCGCACAGACGAACTGCTTTACGAAAGTAGAATATACGTAGATTTAACACAATCAAATGAATGAGAGAAAATAAGTGCACTAATGGGGAGTGACTTGATGGCTTTTAATTAAACATCTATGGTGTCGCCTTGGCATAGAAATCTTGATGATACTCTTCGACACATGCTCAAGCAATTAATCAATCCCTAAACTAATCCCAACCCAATCATTTCGACAGCTTGCAGCAAATGTGGCAGACGTGGCAATTTGCTGCAACGCCTCGTCGCGTTCTTATATGCGATAATAAACGGCCATTATTTGTAGTTAAAAAATCGTTTTGAAAAAAAACAAAAAAACAAGGTGTGAAGCCCAACAGTGCGCCCCCAGCACCAACCCGATCATTTCGGTGTAGGCGTTGTCGTTGCCCCACTCCACATCTCTTGCATAAATTTGTTTGATAAAATTTTCAATGAGTCGCTGACGCTGATGCTGAGGCTGCTGCAATTTCGTTTGAAATATTGCGGCCACATGATATTTCAATTTTCAATTAGTGACTCCAAAAACTGTCGACACGCGAAGACAGGGAGGGAGAGAGGACAAGGAAAAGACCAAAAACTTTGCGTGGTTTCAAATGAATTTGCTTGTTACTTTGTGGCCCAACATTGTGGGTCAAAGAGTCAGGATTGTGACGCATGCAACGTCGCGTCGGCTGCAGCTCTGAGCTCTGGGTGAAGTGAACCCACCTCCAAGCCGTGCCTGCCGCCCGTCTCCTACCTCTTGTGGCAGTGCGAGTATTTCGCCAGACGCCAGAGAGTTGACCCCCGCGGTACACAACGCGAAATGATGTTAATGTCCGCTTTAAGTCTGTTACACTTTCCTTTTTCAATCACCTATAATCCTGTAAAAAAAAAGAAACAAAAAAATAAAGAGAAGATGTTGCAAAAAGCAAATCGTGACAAATGGAACCAGCTTGTACACTCTCGAAATTGGAGATATTTTAAGACCATAACATGAGCAGAAATAGTAGTAAATGTTTTCATAAAATACAAATCAAAAGGTATACAATTTTGATGGCTGGAGATGGGACTCCCCTGCCCTGCCGTATCATTCACATTTGTTTGGCAAATATGTGCCAAAGGCTGCTCTTTTTTTTGCCATGCTGTGACAAATTTGTGACCCAAAAAGTGAGAAATAATTTATTTATTTATTTATTACACTTTTCGCACAATTAGGCGCAATGATGTTGAAGTTTTTGAGAGCTCTATTTCATGGCTAAACGCTGCCAAAGGCGCTGAAAGGTGTCAGAGAGGAGAGTGCGTGCGTGGTGTAATTAATTGACTGCTGATTGCTGACACATTCGCCTGGCCTGGCCTGGCCTGGCCCTACAACAACAATTAACTCTCATGTATGACCTTCCCTCTGTCTCTCTTTTGCAGATACCTCCAGCTATTATTTCCCATCTCAAAACCGTTTTGTGCCATCGTCTGGGGCCTTTCCCCGCCAGCAGCAGCAGTCGTTGGGTAACTTCCGCGGCAGCTCCGGAGGATTCTCGCCTGCTCCGGGCTCTTACCAGGAGCAGCTCCTATTCATAGCCAATGAGAATGGCGCCAAGCAGGTGCCAGCGGCTGGCAGTTCGCCGTTCGGATCGCCATTCGGCGGCAGCTCACAGTTTGCGGTAAGTTAATGCTCCAAAATTTAAATTGAAATTCCATTTTCTGTTTCTCAGATTACATTTCCTTATGTGGTGCTATGCCCGTAAGTGGTGGAGGGTGGGTGGATGTTACCAATTATGTTGGGTTTTCCGTTTTTCGTTGCTTTTCCAGGCACGCCAAGTGCCAATCAACGCCAAAAACAAAACCAAATCAAATCCAATTCAAAAAGCAAACCACATGCCACATATGCATGATGATTTATGGATTTCTACAGACGAGAATGCAATTGCAAAATGGTTGCTCAGTCAGGATATATCGGAATTAATAGTACCATAAGTAGGTAGGCCTGCAAATTATGGCACGCGACTTTGCTTGGCTCAGTTTCCGTAAGCCGAACACAACGCAGGGGCATCCAAACAAAAACTCAAATCAGATTACGGATATAAAATGATTGCGTGAAAGAAATGTCGGTAGCCGTCGGCCATTCATTCCCTTCCCACCCACCCCCGCGAGGCATACGCGTACTTTCACTTGACCAAAGACAAACAAAGCGAATCGGCTTCTGCATATCAACGAATCAGCAAAGTAATTCCCGACTATTGTTGAATATTCAAAAGCTACGAATGCACAGCAGAGGCAGAGCGGAGTGGTGGGGTGGTGTGGTGGGGTGGTGCAGCGAGTTTCTTAATTGAAAAAAGTGTAAACTCATATTGTTTATCATCAGCTTCTTCAAATAATTACCAGTTTTTGGCCCTAATTGAAATGCTCTCTTCGTGAGGGCCCCAAGAGTGGCAGAGTGATAAGTCGGAGCACACAGCAAGCGGTCTGTAGCTCCACGGATTTGCTGCCTAATGGAACTGACTTCTTTATGGCCCGTTGCATTTGCCCAGACAAAAACTCAATTAACTTGGCCCTCGGCCAGATGCAGTCTGTTGATTGTGGGCCTTCAGTGAGACGCAGTGAGAGATGGAGCGAATGAACGAAGACAGGCTCCTGGATAGATTCCTGCTTCGACTGCACTTTATTTGTTTCCCTGATCCCCTTAGAGTCCACGATGCACGCTTAATGGCAAACTGTGGTTCATGGGATGAATGAATGGTTGATTGGCCCGCCTCAATGTTAGTCCAAGGGGAAAGTGCAATAAACCCTCCTCCCTGCCCCGTCTCTCTTCTGTTGACTTCTTCTCTCAGCTTTCCACATAGCCAAATCCATTCGTAGAGACGTGAGCAGAGCTTTCATAGTTTCATTATGCTATCCATATTGACAAATGTCTTGGAAATTTGTGTGTGTATTTTTAATTTCCCCCACCGTCGAACCGACTGACGACTGGCGATCGCTTTCTTCTTTCCCATTAGCCATTAACAATCTACCACAAAGCTAATGCAGCTCCAGCTCCAACTGTTGACAATGGAGGAGTGAAATTTTGATCCAAGATCACTCCACGTTCCCCCACATACGGCCGCCCATTTAATGTCTGTTAATCAGAGTAGGTCCAACGATGCCCAGCAGCTGGGGAGAAAATCTTTGGCCAACAAATTGCTGCCAGCCAGCCAGCTATCGGTGGAGGAAAAGCCGAGCTCTGATGCGTAAACGCTACCGCCGCCAAGAAGCGGAAAAATAAATGCATTGAAATGCGCCTTTTAGCAACAAAACTCGCGTTTTGTATGCAATTTGCTTAACAGAGCACAACTTCAGCCTCATAGCCAATGCAGTCCGACTCCGACTCCGACTCTGGCTCTTCGACTTTCAAAAAAAAATCAAAGAAATCAAATCCAAACAATACAAATAAGTAATAAAAATGGATAACAACGAGAGCAGCAAGTACTTTGAGGCCGAGAAACTGGCAGACATTTTTGACTGGGACTGGGACTGGGACGGGGCCGGGGACGGGGCTATGCGATTGGATAATTAGTGAGTCGTTGAATATCGAAACGACCTTGATACACTTCAATCAAATACTTCCAATCGATTTTCATTGTTTGTCTGCAGCTTTCGACGTCGATTTCATATCCAAAATCTGTCCAAAGCGCTTTGGCATTGTCTGCAGCACGTTGCTTCGCATAGAAGTGGAGCTGCAGTCAAGACTATGACCAACTATTTGTCAACTTGAGGTGCCACAGCTTATGGTAGTTCTGTCACCTAAGCGGAATATCTATTGAAGCCCTCTCTCAACCTACATCAAAGTCAAAGTTCCATGTCGGCTTACATTATTCTTCGCCCAGTGATAGGTGATGGAAAAGTGCTCCAGTTTTGAAATGATATTAAGCCTTTGATGCATATTTGAATCTATCTAAAATCGTTACTGACTCATGAATTGATGATTCAACTACAATTCCAGATTTAAGTAGAACAAAAAGTCCCCTAACCAGTGATTCGAATACATTTTTAGATGGGAATTTTGAGGAGTTTCTCTTGCTCTCTTGACAGGGAGCGAAAAGTCCCAACAAAATGCCAAACTAATTTACCAACTACATTGCTCTGCCTCAGCATTAACCCAACATAATGTTTTTGTTTTGTTTTCCCTTCTCCATTTTGCCACAGAAATCGCCACCGAATCGCCAGTCGGACTATTACGATATCTCGCCACGCCCCTTCGGAGTGCCCGCGGGGCCAGCGCCAGGCGGCGTTGGTGCAACGTCCGCGACGTCGTCGTCGTCGTCGAGCAGCGGCTTCACACGCTCCAAGGCGATACGCAACGGCAGCGGCAGCGGCAGCGGCACAGGGAACAGCCTGAGCGGTGGCTTCCAGCCTCAGACGCAGCGCATCAATGTGCCCCACCAGCAGACGCAGTTTCTGGCCCACTTCAGTGAGGTAAGGAGAGAGAGAGAGAGAGAGAGAGAGAGAAAGTAAAAGCAATTTCAATTGGAATAACAAGAAACACAGAAACCCAAACAATTTCGTTTTGTTTTGGCATTGCATAAGAGCCAGCAAAACAATTGGCTCTGCTCTGATTTTGGCCAATATCAGGCTACGGTTCGGTGTTTGGAGCTGGAAGCCATTTGCCTGCTCTTACGTGACTTCCACATCTAAAGCTAAATGTGTGCTCGGGCCAGAACCAGTTCGGCTTGGCTCGGGTTCGACAATGTATAGCCAAAAAACCACAAAAAAGATCAATCGAATTATAGCACAAATTTTTGTACCTTTCACCTGGAATCACATTTCATGCTTCCCCCATCTCATTATCTATTTGCAAAAGCAAACCACATAAATGTGTATTTGTTTTATTTACTTATATGTTTCTGTTTACCTTTGAGAGGGTATTGTGCGGGGTATGCCATCGTTTTGCAACTGCACACAACTATACGAATGCTTATGGCACATCCGTTCGTCCACCTGTTGTCGCTTTGGCAACAAGAAACTAGTTTGGGAAGGCAATCCTAATTCATTCCTAAGAAAACCCCCGCATAACTTCCCATTTCATTTCGAGATTTTTCTATTCACTTTGATTTCATTTGAAGCCATTCGAAAGCATAATTGAAATATCTGCCCCCATCATGGTTCCGCCGCTCTCTTTCTGTGCGTTTATTTTTGGATGTGCCTCCCCCCACATCAATTTCTCAGTTTAATTGCTGCCATTTGTTTGGGGCCACTCCAAGCGAAAGTGCTGGCTTAAATATCAAATCAGCTCACGATTAAGCGGCAATAATGATGATTATAACGCAGTTGGTATTATTTATGGAAATGGAACATGAATTGGGGGCCAAACACTCGAATGATGGATGATTAATCTGTGAATGTGAACACGTTCATCGTCTTCATTCTCATTCCCATTTGCCGTTCTCCAAGAGCACTGGCAATCTCCAATCACACAATCCACACGAATGCCAGATCTCAATATATTTGGCAACCTGCAGCGAGGAAAATGGTCGGAAAAGTCCTAACCCCAGACAGCTGGAGGTTGCCAGCACATAAAAATTAAATAAATACGAGCGCATAAATTATGGACAGCTGCAGGGGCGATGTGGGGGAAGGGGAAATTTGCACAAAACGCTTAAGACAAATTTTTGGAGAATCAGTTGAATGGATTGCTTGGCAGGGGAACAGAGGCCAATGGGTAGTGGGGCTCTGCACCTGAGAAGAGTTCGCACGCAAAACAATTGACAGACGAACCGCAGAGCAGAGCAGCGCAGAGCAGAGCAGCGCAGCTCTGGGATTGTGTGAGGTTCGTGTCCATGTCGAAACTGTAACAGTTTCCCATGACGACAACCGCAAGAGTCGAGGCTGTGAACGTCTTGGCGTGGTCTGATCTGCTGCTGCTCCGCAATCGTAACAATGCACCGAAGTTAGCGCCACGAATCTGCAATCTGTGGCTAACTGCTGCTCATCTGCCTGTCTCTCTCCTTCTATATTTTTTGCAGAATGACAAGCGACCGACGTCCAGCAATGCGGGCAGTCGTCAGTTTGGGCATGGCGGTGGATTCTCACCCACACGGACGCGCGCCCAGACTCAGGCTCCAGTCTCGGCACTGCCAGAGTCTCCGGTCACAGCAGCGCCAAGTCCGTACAGGCCGCGCAATCGCTATCAGCCGGGCACATCCTCCACAGCAGCCCTCACATCCACCACGGACAGCAGTGCGGAGGTGAGCAGCAAGAGGTACAATCGCTTCGGCAGCAACCGCTCCAAGGCGCCATCCTCGACCACAACCACGCAGAACACACCCGCGGATCGACCCAGCTTCGGACGCAAGTCGCCCAATTCCCGGCGGCCGGTGTTCATCAGTCGAGAGGTCAACGAGCCGCTGAGTGCGACGAGCAAGCGACCCTTCAACTACAACAGCGCCAGCAGGCTGAAGCTGACACGACCCACAGCCCGCACCACCAGCACCACTGAGAGCGCTGAGCAGGAGGAAGAGGAGGAGGAGGAGGAGGAGCGGGAAGAAGAGCTGGAGAGCGGTGAGCAGTACGAGCAGGAGTCGGAGGAGCACCCTGAAGATCACTCGGAGTCGTCCAGTCTGGAGAAGTTGCCGCTGCAGGAGGAGCCAGAGGTAACCCCAGTGACAATTCCACAGAACGAAGCTGCCAGTCCGGAAACTGCAACCCAAAATGAAGAGGAAAACACGGATCCGTCCAGCACCAGCAGCACCGAAGAGTCTCAAACCGATTCTGCAGAGACGACAGGCTCCAGCGAGGCCCCCACCACGCTGCCCTCCAGCAATGACTACGAGTACGCGGAGGATGAGGAAAATGATAAGGCTAAGGCCACCACACCAATGGCCCAGGAGAGTGAATCCACCGAAGAGATACTGTTGGAGGGCACCACGGAACCGCCACTGCCAGAGAGCACCTCAGAGCAGGAGCAGCAGGATCCTGTCATTGACAAGCAGGAGGATCCTCAACCTTCCACGCCCAAGGAAACGTCATCCAAGCAGGAGGAAGAATCCGAGTCGGGGTACGACGACGAAGAGGGGAGTCTGGGCGAGGGCGAGGGCGATGAGTACGAGTACGAGGATGAGGAAGGCGGCGACGGAGAGCACGAGGACTCCACCAGTGAGACAGAAACGCAGGACTCCAGGCCAACGACAAGCAGCGAGCACAAGGAAGATCGCGAGGTAATCTCTGTGGTGACCACCAAGAGCGTGGTCAATGGCTCAACTGTGATCCCTGCCCCCGTCACGCCGAGTATGCCCACGGAGGAGAACGAGAAGGAGGAGGAGCAGCAGACAGATGTGCAAAAGGAAACCCCAGCCGAGAGCGAAGACACGGCCAATGCCACCGAGAACTACGTTGTGGTTGCCTCGATACAGCCTAGCCGAAGCATCAACGGAGCCCGCTTCCTCACCTTCCCGGCCATCGAGCAGGAGGAGACCAAGCAAACGCTCTCCGAGCTGGAGCGAAAGGTGCACTCCAAGCAGCAACAGCAGCAGCAGCAACAGAAGCAGCCCGAGAGCAGCGAGGAGCCGAGCACCTCCTCCACATCTACCCAAGCGCCGCCGCTGGCCGCCTCCACCGAGAGCATCATCGATAAGTTGGACCGCGTTCAGTCGGAGCTGTCCAGCGGCCTGTTGTCCGGCAAGTATCCGATCATCAGCCAAATGGACTCCTCCACACCAGCCACCAGCACCACGCTGGGATCGGGATCCGGAAATGGTCGATTTGCGCCTCACATACGGAAGTTCCAGCCAAAGACTACGCCGGCGCCGAGCACCACGAGCAGTGGCAGCAGCCGGGTGAAGGTGCAGCACTTTGACGAGAGCGAAATGGACGAGCTGGCTGGCCTTTTGCCCGTGGGATTCAAGCCAAAATCCAGCTACAAGAACCGCAAGATCACCACCACCACCACCTCCACTACGGAAGCACCCGCCGTGGAGCCACCTAGGAAGCCAGGACGCAACAGCACCATCAGTCGGTCCTTCAAGAACGGTCAGGTGACCGTGCAGGATGTGGCGTTGGCGGGTCTGCTGCCCAAGGGCTACAAGCCACCCAGAACAACAGCTAAAACAACGACAACGACAACGACCGGTCCGGAGGAGGGCGGCAGCAGCAGCAGCTCCAGTCTGGAGAGCCTCTTCAGTGGCATCAAGTTCGACGACAGCTTGGCCGCACTCCTGCCCAAGGACTACAAAGTGAGCAGCACGCCGCGGCCCGCCTTTACGACTGTGGACGACATCTCCAAGTTTCTGCCGCCCGGCTTCAAGCTGAACAGCAGCAGCACCACCACGCCCCGATCCCATCCCGTGGCCGTGCCTTTCGATGATCTGAGCAAGTTCCTGCCGCCCGGCTACAAGGCGCCCGCCAAAGAGAAGGCAGAACCCGTGCCGAAGCTGCCCGAAGGCATCTTGAAGCCCATCAAAATAGAGGATCTGAGCGCCCTCCTGCCGCCGGGCTTCAAGCTGAACGAGACGACCAAGACCACGGACACGTCGAGTGATGAGGATCTGCTGGCCTCGCTGCTGCCACCGGGATTCAAGTCGCCGAAGGTACATCCCGCCTCCACCTCCACCTCCACTACGACCAAAAGGCCAACGACCAAGACGCTCGCCTCGAGCACCACGGAAGCCCAAGCGGGCGAAGGAAGCAGCGGCCTGAAAGTGGTCTTCCCGAAGGGTTTCCACAAGAGACTCGGATCGCATCGCCTGACCACGCCACACCCCGGCAACGATGGCCAGGCTGACGCTGCGACACCCTCGTCGGACGGCACACCGCCAGTTGTCATCAAGAAGGGTCCACCCCAGCGAGCCACCACAGAGTTCACCGGCTGGCCCACACCGCCCACCACGCCGCTGTCAATCGAGAAGCTGAACGCCCAGACCATCAACTTTGAGGATCTGCTAACACCCAGCGCCAGCAGCAGCACCACCAGCACCAGCACATCCACAACGAGCACCACGACAACGACAACACCGCGCCCCACCAAACCAGGACACTGCACTTCCGATTGTGATCTGGCAGCCACCATAAAGATCATCGACGGAGTGGCCTGGAAGCCGGAGCTCCTGGATCACAACACGCTCGAGTGGAAGAATCTAGCCCACGAACTGGAGGCGCAGGTAGGTTTTGCCCTTCTTTCATCGCCTCTTGCCGCTCACTCCACGTTCCTTTTCGTTTCAGCTGAATGAAGTCTACTCCAGCGCTGATCAGCTGAACAAATGGTACAAGAAGGTGCGCATCGATAGCTTCAGCAAGGGCAGTGTGCTGGTCGATTATTACGTGGAGCTGGCCAACATAACGGAGGATGTGGACACGCAGGAGATCCGGCAACTGTTCCACGATGCGCTGACCAAACCCGTGGCCCCAGCACTGCCCGACAAGGATGCCCAGGAGAATGAGACGGACAGCGTGTCCGGGCCGCAGGAGGAGCAACTAGTCACGGCCAGCTATCAGATGGGTAAATACATCATTGATCCAGTGGCCACCGATTTCAGTGGTAAGTAGATGGGACATTTAGGCGCTCTTGACACCAGCTAATTCCCTCCGTTTGTGTCTGCCATCAGTCATAGCCAAGAATGTCAACACAAATGTGGAGTTTGCCGAGGAGGATCTGCTCATTCCCCAGTGGGCCATTGTCGTGATAGTGATTGGAGTTGGATCCCTTGTGTTTATCATCATCTTTGGCGTCACAGTGGTAAGTCGTAGCATTCCGTCTTCCTGTTGTTCTCCACTACAACTTGTGGCCCCAACTTTCAGCTGCTTAATCGTCAGAAGAGGGCCAAGAAGACGCCGATTCCGCTGACCAATGACATGCTGAACGAGCTGAAAGTCAATCACATGGGTGGAGCGGATAACTATGGTGTGGATGACTTCTACAACATTGATGACCCCTGGAACGATACCAAGCAACCGATAAAGCCGAAGGTATGTCCTAAAATGTCATATTCTATTTTTATTGTATTATTTCAATTGTTCCATTGCAGCGCTTCACCAATTCCATGCATGGCAGCAACAGCTCCAACATATACGACAGCTGGCGCTCCACCCGTCATCCGCACAGCAATGCCGACTATTTCTATGACCAGCAGCCGACGTACTCGCAGAAAGGCGACTCCCTGAAGAGGCCGCATCATGGCCACCATCAGTATCCCGCCCATACCCATCAGCAGCCACAGCACCAGCACCAGCAGCAGCAACAGCATCCGCAGCAGCAGCATCAGCAGGCGTATGGCCACCAATATCCGGATGCCTTTGCCGATGCCCACCAGATGTACAGCTATAACAATCATGCGAGTCGGACGCGCTATTCCCGCGACTACGATCCCGATTTCTAGTTAAGCCACCGACCACACCACACCACACCACACCCATCCACGCACTAGTTTTAGTAACATGCGAACGATTGTGTGTTGTGGCGTAACAAGATAGCCTAAAGTATCATAGTATGTACCTACATATAATGCTATTGTTTATGCTCGTATTTATCGTACAGTACTCGTACTCTCTGCTGGCTTGCCTCAAAAGTTGTCCCGCTTTTCTGTACCCACAGCCAGAGGTATTCTAAATGGAGCTGCTATCTGTATCTGGATGCGATGTACTCCGGTATAGCTATTATAGATGATACAGAATATAACTTGGGGTCGTATCCCTGGAAAATAAATAGTCATGCACTCTTAGTTAATCTTAGCTCGTAACTAAATAGTAAACTAAATATGTTATCCATATATCCATAGTATTATTTAATGTACTGGCGGCTTGCTACTAATGTCTAAATTTAGGCAAATAAATAAAACTTTAAAAGCAATCAGAGCATAAATTTGGAATCAAATTCTAAAATAATGTACGAAATACAATTGACTGTAAAAAAGAATAAAAAGTATAATTGCCGAAACCCGGGATTGAACCGGGGACCTTTAGATCTTCAGTCTAACGCTCTCCCAACTGAGCTATTTCGGCGGATGTTTGTTTCGTGTCCAATGGCGTTGTTCACATAAGCACTTTTTGTTTCTAGTTTTTTCAGTTTTACAACACCTCAGAACAAGCTTAATTTACGCGGACAAATAACAATCAAAATTATTTTTGTTTGACTGCTAAGCTAATATTATTTTTGCAAGCGTTTTCATTGACCAAATATCAAGTATTGATAAAAAGAAGGAAAATACAGAACTAAAAACATTTTTTTGTGTATAAAAAAATGTTGTATTGCCGAAACCCGGGATTGAACCGGGGACCTTTAGATCTTCAGTCTAACGCTCTCCCAACTGAGCTATTTCGGCAGATGCTATTTTGTTGCCAAATGGCGAGTTTCCCATTCGCTGCTTCTTTAAGTGTTTTTAAAATACATTCTGTTACTACATCTCTATAATGCAAAATTCAAATGTCGATAAAATATTCTAAAAACAAAAAAACGATGTGATTGCCGAAACCCGGGATTGAACCGGGGACCTTTAGATCTTCAGTCTAACGCTCTCCCAACTGAGCTATTTCGGCAGTTGTGATTTGCTCGACTAAAGTTGGCTTTTGCCAACCGACGCATTGGGGGCGCGCCTGTCAGAACTTTTCACATTAAGGGCTATAAAAATTCAACGTTTCAATAAAAATACATGGTTGTTTTTAAGGCTCAATCTCATTTATTTATTAATCCCTTTTGGTTACCGGAACAGAGTCCTTGTCAATGTTTGCAGGGTTTCTGTTTCTGCCTCAGAACTCTTAGTGGTTCACATCCTAGAGCTCACTAAAGCTAAAAGTTAACGATCAATTTGTGTTGTATCTTGTTTAGGGCTAAGTTCTATATTAAATCAATGGATTTCACATATGCAATACACATTTCGGGCTGTAAGGTGGGTGGGCTGAGGAATTGGGGCTAGGAAAACTCTGGGCTGGGGTCTCTTAAATAACTACCAATTGTTTCGCTTCAATTAAAGATTAAAGACAGTTAAAAATTTTCACTAATATCACCTTCTAAAAATTTGTCCAATTCGTTTCGTTGAAAAACTGATGTATGTAAATATGTACGTGTCTATATGTATGCGATTTTATCCGTAATTGTTTTTTGATTTTGGCGTAAACGGCGAACCGAACCGGTCGAAACGAAACGAATTATCAATTAAAAACCAAAAGCAACGTAAAATGTAATTGAATTTAAATAATTTGCATTTATTTAAAAAATATCTAAATTACGAATTGAGTAATTTTTCAAGTGTTTTGTTTTGTCATCGTATCGTGTTTTCAATACTTATAAAATAATAATGCGGTGTGTGTGTGTGTGTGTGTGTGTGTGTGGGTGTCGATGAGCATTTTGTGTGTTGTGTAGCGCGGAGTGGGGTGGGGTGTGTTGTGTATTTAAGGACAATTTAAACAATAATTAAAAACTTAGCAGTGATTTCTCGATTGGTTTTTATAAATGTACAAAATGTAATTAATAAACATCAAAAATATATATTAAACCAAACAAAAGCACAGAGAATTGCCGGTCCAATGCCTACAATTAATTAAAATTTGTTTTTAATGCCTAATTATCAACTATGATATATGTATGTATGTATAATCAATGTATAATATTTGTATGTATAATTGGGTTCGCAATATTTTAAACTACAATTTATAACATGCGCCGCGACGTAAACGAACAAATGCCCTGGGGGAAGAGGGGAGGGTGATTATGCTGATGATGGACAGACGATACAAATACAGATGTAAATATAATATATAAACGCTTTATGGGAGGAGGCTAGGAAGGGAGGTGTGCGTGGGGTGTATATATATTATATATATATAAATGTATATGTATATATGCACTTGGTAACTATGTATAAGATGAGAGTCCCGTACATGCTCGCTAAATAATTGATTTGATTTCCAACTGCAAAATGCGCAGCGCACACACGATTAAACATCAACAAACAGAAAATCAAATGGTAAAAAAGTAATAATCAGCAGGGATCGGGTCCCTAGAATTTTGATATACGCGTCCTCATCGCATGTGCCTTTGTGTATATGGTATATGTATGTGTATATTTATTTATTGGTGCCTATGTATTTGCATATGCGTGGATCGGGTGTGTGGATCTGGTGTGTGGGGGGGGATGTTTCTATCGATCTTTTGGTCCCTACTCCACGGCAAAGCCACAGGTCTCCTCCACCGCTTGGGTTAGCTTATCGCAGAGCAGCTGATAGTTCTCGTACGGCGGCAGATCGATCCGATTGAAGCAAGTGTGCGCCTTGGGCAGGTTCTGTGTGGGCACATCGATGGTGAGGTGGATGGTGAACAGGCGTGGCCCCACTGCACCCGTGGATCCCTGCAGCGCACGGAATCCCTGCAACGGCACCCGCGACGAACCCGTCACAAACTGCAGCAGACGTGCTCTCATCTCAGAGCTGTACGACTCGACCACCTGAATGGGTGAGGCGTCACACAAGAAATACATTTTTAATTAAAAATCTATATGTGAGGTGATTGAGTTATCATTTCGCACCTGCCAGAACCACAGCACTTGCGTCGTCTCGTTCGTGCAGTGCTTCAGTCTCGTATTGTTGCGCCAATCGTTGACATCGATGCTCGAGATGCCCCCAATGACCAATTCCAGTTCCCGCTCATCAAACGGTCGCAGCAGATGGCTGGGTATCAGCTCACAGAAACCTGCAAGAAGAGATTCCGTCGGGACGATTAATATCAATCCCTGGGGAGATAATCATTTAATACAGACCTTTCTGCAGTGCCAAAAACTGCTGCTCGATGCCGCGCATGAAGCGATAGTTCACATAGAGCTTAACGTACTCGCGCTTGTTCTCCTCGGTGACGGGTATGGCGGCGCCGCCGGGCTTCAGTTCGTGCACCACCAGAGCCCCAAAGCTATTGTTCTCCACGCTGAATGTCGACTCGATGATGCCGCTAATGTTGCTCTCCCTGCAAAACGAATAAAGACAGACAAGGTTAACAATGGGTCAAGACAGAGTAAGGACTGATCTTACAGCATCCATGTAAGGCTGCGGTGCAGCTCCGGATCGACGCCCTCGATGTCGCCCAGCGTGATGGGTTTGTTCAGCAGCTGCTTGTAGAAGGGCGTGGTGAAGCCCCCGTCGAGGCAATGGCCGTGGAACACGGCTATGCCCAGGGTGCGGCCCACAAAGTGAAAGTAGGAGAGATGGTCCGGATTCACGCCAGAGTCGGGATTGATCTGCAGCGTGTAGTGGTCGTCGCGACTGTACTGAAACAGGCCGTACTGCGGGTTAAGCATCTCGCGGGAGAGCAGATGCAGCCACTCGCGGGCCACGCCGCCATAGTCCAGTCCCTCCTCGCCCTTGAACTTGACCATCAGGCGCTTGCGCATGTCCTTGGCCCGCATCTTCATTATCAGTCTATAGCTCTCCTCGAAAATCTCGTTGCGCGACACCTCCAGCCGGCAGTGGCCGGACTGCGGCTGCATCGTCTGCAGCTCGGTGCGCAGGGCGCGTAGTTTTCCGACCAGATCCCGGCGATACTTTGGCAGCAGGTCAGCACCTTCGAGCAGGCCCTGCGGCAGCCCTTCCGGACAAATGCGATGCGGGGTGTTCGTTATCGTTGTCGCTGTCGTGTGTGCTGTCGTAGAACCAGATCCTGCTGCCGCTGCTGTTGTTGGGGCAGGCGCAGGGCCAGGTGTTGCCGGCTGATTGGAAGCAGACGTTGGATTGGGCGAGGACGTGGCAGCCGCCGCCGCCGCTGCTGCTGCTGTCGTAGGTGGTGTGGCAGCGCCAGGAGCTGCTGTTCCAGTTGGCGGCACAGGTCCCCGTCGAATTAGCTGCAGGAGACTCCCACTGAGCCGCGGATCCGTGAACTGTGTGGTGCGGTTGTTGTGGTCCACAAAGTAGACCCGCCCGGAGGCCGTTTTCCTCTGCTCCCAGCCACTGGGCAGCGGCCCAATCGAGTCCAGCGGCAGATGCTGTGTGTCAAAGTCGCGAGGGATCCGTGGATCGTGCCACGTGGACACGCCCGTGGGTATGTGATAGAAGTACACCTGGCCCTGTTGCGTGGTGCGCATCTCGTAGCCGGAGGGCAGATCGAGGAAGGGACGCGCCGCCTGATTGGCCGCTGCAATGGCGGCCGATGCCAGTCTCTGTCCAGATCCTCCTCCTCCGCCTGCTCCAGCACTGCCACCGTTGCGGGTGCCGCGCGAGGAGCGACGCCGTGTGGAGGACTCATCGCCACCCTGCTGCCTGGAGCTGCGACGCTGCGAACGCTGGCCAGGGGTCGTTGCAGTGTAGGATCTACCACCACCTCCTGGCTGGCTGTTTGCATTCGGACTGTGAACTGTGTTGCCATTGGCCGCAGGCGTAACTGCCGCCGCTGGAGATGTGGCTGCATTCGTTGCGGGAGGACTCTGACTCTGATTGTGCCTGGGTGGCGTCGTTGTCGCTGTCGTTGTCGTTGCAGTCGTTGCTGATGTCTCCTCCTGTGTCCAGCCATTGCTGGCGCTTTGTGGCTGTGCCGCCTGGAAGCTTCCATTTCCACCACTACCACTCCCTGATCCTGTCCCACTTTGAGCATTTCCGTTCACATAGTTCTGCTGACCCGTGGGCGATGTGGAGGTGCCCTCGACGGGTGCATGGGAGCTATGGCCATGGCCGTGGCCATTTGTTTGATGCTTTGGCGTTTTAACATGACTCACGTGATTGTCATTGTTGCTGTGGAGGCGACCCGTGCCCGCCGACGTTGTCGTTGTCGTGCTGCTTGTGGGCGTGGCTGGTTCGTTGCCGCTGCGCGCCTCCAAGGTGCGACCGCCTGTGGTGGTGGTGGAGGAGGATTTCTTGCCAGGTGTGGTGGCGATTGAGGCCATGGGAGTCGTGGGACTGGTGTTCTCCTTGCCCACGCTGGACAGGATCTCCGTGGAGTGTCTTCGCTCGTCCGACCCCGTCACAGACGTCTCTCGATTCCGATTGCCGCCATTCAGCAGATTGGTGCAGGTCGTGGAGCGCGTAGGACCCGCCGGCGCCTGTCTATCCCCGTGGCCATTTCCGTGGCTGTTGTTGCCATTGTGATGGCGCTGCTGCGGTGAGGTGCCGCCGCCCGGCAGTCTGGGTCTGTCCCATTGTGTGGATTTGGTGGCATGATTCACATAGTAGATTCGTCCGTTGTCCGTGCGCCGTTCTTCCCAGCCCTCGGGCAGGCTGTCCTCCGAAGAATCATCCTCGGAGGGTCCCCGCACATCGCCGCTGGGCCCCACAATGGCCAGGGGATTGCCACTGCTGGGGCCATCCTTCGACAGCAGCGATATAATAATTTGTCCACGCACCAGCTCATCGTCGTCCGGCGATAGTTTGCCCAAATCCAAGCGTTGAACTGAAAGCACAAACAATTATCAAATCAGCAACAAAGCGAGAGAGGGATAGAGCTTGAGGGATACTTACATCCTGCACCTTTGAGGCTTTGAATGGTGAAGGCGGGTATCCGCACACAGCCCAGAAAGCCGCTGCCTTTGTGTATCTTTCGCTGATTCCACACGGTTATGGTGATGGCATCGGCCAGGCCCAGGAACAGATCGTAGTGAGCATTCCATTTGGGGTCCAGCGAGGACTTGCTTATCTCCGTCGAGTACACCTGACCCGTGCCATCCACCTGGACCTTGGCAAAGGGATCGGGGAGGCCTGCAAACAGCAACAAGTAATTGTAAATTATTAGCAAACAATTCAACCAATCTGCATTGTCAATAATGTGATATAAATGATAGCCTTGCGTGCCTCAAAATCGGAACGGAAAGCAGATATCGAGAGTGTTGCAACAGTTCATCTTCAGCATGCATCGCTGCGAGTTTGTGGTGTTTCTGCTGCTGCTAGTGCTGCAGGTATACACGTACCCCCACAAGCATCCTGGCTTCACACAGCGTCTGCAGATCAATCCACTTTGCCTTGAACTCCCGCAGAGGACAACACCAGGAATAATATTCTCCCCTTTGGAGGAGACCACAACAGAGGCAGAGCTTGATCGTGTGGGGGAGCTGCAGAGGCAGCAGAAGTTCCCCTTGTGATTGTGAGTGATTCCCCTCGATGCCAGAACCCAGGGGTTATCGCTTTCAAACGCGGGGCCATCCCCCCAGTGATCAGAATCGTATATAAAAGCAGAAACATTCATCAGTATGGAGCATCATTCTACAATCTTCCTACAGTCTACAAAATGTCTACCACTTGGCTGCATCTGCTGGGCTTTCTGGTGGCCCTGTTCCTAGCCCTGGCCCCAGGAGGAGAAGCTTCACCTTTCGACTCGAATCGCTTCCGAGCACGCACACAGCCCCGACAAGGATCCATGCCACAAATACCCACCACACCGCCATTCAATCCCTACGGATGAGGCCAACTAATGTAGAAATAAAACAATTAAATATGAATCTAAACAATTAAAGAGCTGTGCAGATCGTTGGGTGAAAGACTGGGCCAAGTGTGTCATTTAGTCAAGACAACTATCAGCCAATCTCTGCTATCAAATCAAGCACCTTCCCACCACCCGCTGTTGCTGTCGTTGCTTATCGTCCCACAGCCGATAGTGTGCCCCGCACGAAGTCTTGACAAATTAAGCGCACGAGCAGCATTCCAGGGGAATTAAACAATTAGGAAACTACTTGTACGACTCATAAATATCGCAGAGCTAAGGCCAATGGATCCATCTGCCGACTCAGTTCGCAAGTAAATAAAAGCACAGCCAATGGCTCACTCCTTTAAGGAGTCCCCAGAGCCTCTCCTTTGTGGCTCGTGTAATTTGAGTCTCGTGTCTCCCCCACCCATGATGATATACATTGCTGTTGTCGCCACACAGCTGTTCCGATTGATTTCATGCCACAGAGAACACAAACAATCGAGTCGTGTAGCCTTTTGGATGGATACCCTTTTCAGGCTTCGACTCAGGGTAACCCGTTTGGGGAAAAGCAACTCTCTCGCTGGCTGAAGAGCGCGAAATGTAAAAAGTAAGCGAAGCTTCCGAGACTGGCGTCAGGCCAACTGTCTTGTCAAATTTGCAACCCTTTTTCCGCTTTACGCTACGTGGCACAGTTCCCCATTGAAGAGCCGGAAGTTGCACGACTGGCTGCACTTTCACTGGCCGCTGAGGTGGGGGGGGGGGGGGGGGGGGGGGGGGGGGGGGACGTGGCAGGCAGCCTAGCATGAAGTTTGTGCCGTGTGCCGTACGCCGTGTGTCGTCTCCTCTTTATTGGATTATTATAAAACAAAAGAAATGGAATAATGAGAGGCGTGACAATTAGGAATCGGCTGCCGCTGCCGCTGCTGCATCGCAGGCTGCACGCTCCTTGATGCGCTCCTCGATGAGCGGACGAAAGTGACGAATGAGGCCTTGGGGCGGCCAGGAGGCTCCGTCGCCCAGGGCGCAAATGGTGTGTCCTTCGATCTGCTTGGTGATCTCCCAGAGCATGTCGATCTCCTCGACTCTGGCCTGTCCGGTCACGAAGCGCTGCATGATGAGATTCACCCAGTGGAGGCCCTCGCGGCAGGGTGTGCACTGGCCGCAGCTCTCGTGCTTGTAGAAGGTGGCCAGGCGGGCGATGGCCTTGATGATGTCCGTCTGCTTGCTCATCACAATTATGGCGCCGGTGCCCATGGAGGAGCGCACGGCCATGAGCCCGTCGTAGTCGTGGATGGCCTTGCTGGCGTCCTCCTTGGGAATGCAGGGCGTGGACGAGCCGCCCGGTATAATGGCCAGCAGATTGTCCCATCCACCGATGACGCCGCCGGCGTGCCGTTCAATGATCTCACGCGTGGGCATCGACATCTCTTCCTCGACTGTGCAGGGTCGCTCCACGTGGCCAGAGATGTTGAAGAGCTTCGTGCCCGAGTTGCGGGTGCGCCCGAAGCTGGCGAACCAGTTGCCGCCGCGGCGACAGATGGTGGGAGACACCGCCACCGTCTCCACATTGGTCACCGTCGAGGGGCAGCCAAAGGTTCCGATATCCGCCGGAAAGGGGGGCTTGTTGCGCGGCTTGCCCGCCTTCCCCTCCAAGGATTCGATCAACGATGTCTCCTCCCCGCACACGTAGGCACCCGCTCCCCGGTGCACGTACAAATCGAACTCGAAGCCGGAGCCACAAGCGTTCGGCCCGAGGTAGCCAGCCTTGTAGGCCTCCAGGATGGCGTACTGCAGGTTACATGCTTCGTTGTAGAACTCTCCTCGAATGTAGATGTACCCGGTGTTGGCACCTATCGCACGGCCAGCTATCAGGCAGCCCTCCACCAGCTTGTGCGGATCGTGGCGCAGAATCTCGCGATCCTTGCAGGTGCCCGGCTCCCCCTCATCCGCGTTGACCAGCAGAAACTTGGGTCTGCCATCCGGTGGCTTGTTCATGAACGACCACTTGAGGCCGCTCGGGAAACCGGCACCGCCGCGCCCGCGCAGCCCAGAGGTCTTTATCTCGTTGATGATCCACAGGTGACCCTTCTCCAGGATCTGCTTGGTGTTGTACCAGTCGCCGCGCTTCATGGCGGCCTTCAGGCGCCAGTCGTGACGACCATACAGATTGGTAAAGATGCGATCCGAATCGGCCAGTGGCCCAAATGTTTTCTTTGTCTGTGGCGGGGGTGTGCCCGGTGGTGGCTTACTGGGTGGAGGAGGTCCTGCCTTGCGGGAAGGTACACTTTTGGAGGCTTCTGGCCCAGCTGGACCTTTTGGTTTCTGTGCCACAGCTGGCCAAGTCCCTGCCATGCGTCCGCGAGTCTCCTTCTCCACCTCCTTGGCAGCCTTATGAAGCACCTCCTCCAGCCGGTCGTCTTCGGTCTCCAGCAGCATCTGGTTGACGGGGAATGTGGACGTGCTTGTGACCGACGTCACTGGGAAGTGGGTGAGAGGCTTCAATCTGCTCAACTCATATTTCTTGTTCGTATCATTGACGATTAGATCTTTCTTTAGTTTCTTCTTAATCACATCGAGCAAGTGCTTCGCTCGATGCTCCTCCTCATCCTCAACGGGGAATTTTAGTGGCGTTGGTGGGGGCTTCTGGAATGGAAATTTAAGTGCCTTCGGTCGGCTTTCTTTTGGCTTTCCGCTGGGAATACTGCCTCCTTTGGGTGACACCTTTCCGTCTGTCAGTGCTCGGATCAGCGAAATCTTGTAATTTTTGGACAGCTGCTGGCGCAGCAGCAGTAAAGATATCATTTTCCAGTTACTATCTGTACCGGGGGGAGGTATTAACTATTTTGATAAGCAAAAGCCAAGGGTTGCTGTGCCTGGGGGTCAATAGAAAACCCCATACAAATCGATTACTCACAGGGGCCGTAGTGTCATTATTCGGGTAGTGATCTATTTATATCGAAAAGCTTCAAGTAAAAACCCGTAGGGTACCATTTTCCAAGGTTTCTCCCACTGATGACAGTTCAGGCGTCAGGCAGTGGGCCCCATAAAATGTTCGAGTATTTTCAGAGCTCAAATCTAATCAGAAACCGTCGATAAAACAAAAGTATGGCAAAAACAAAAAAAAAGAGTTCCCCGCCTCGAATGTAAGCCAAGAGCAGCAGCAGCAGCAGCAGCAGCAGCAGCAGCAGAGAGACACTGGACACGGGGGGGTTCCACATTGAAATTATCATGACTACAATCCCATCTTTGGGATCGTATGCTTACATATAATATAATATTTTAGGCAGTTGTTGGGCAATGCTCAGAGCGTGATTTAAGTGCAGCGATGTGTAAAACAAAAAATGCGAACAAGAAACGAGAGGGAGCGAAAATAATAAATAACAAAAATAGTGGGAAAGAAAAATGTATGCCTCGTGCCCCTGCGTGCGTGTGTGTGTGTGTGTGTGTGTGTTTGTTCGAGTGAGCCCGCAATGAAAGCAAATTAGTAATAATCACTTTTGTTATATCTAAACAGAAAATATATGGGAAAAAAGAGCTCAGATATGGCACAACGATACAGACAGACACACTTTCGGGCATTCACACATATTATTTATTGGAGGGGGGAGGAGCAAAGGCAAAGGTAGTGCCGCAATTTGTTGAAAAATGAAAGTAGACAAAAGGAAGTGCTAAATTTAGCAATATTTCATTTCATATGCATCAATTCGTAGTTGATCGGAAAGAGTGGATGGGGAAAATATTTCCTAGTGGAAATATGCTGTTGGAGCACGCGAATAACTTGCCCACTTAAGCGCCACATCAAAAAAGGAAATACTCACGAAATAAATCCTTGCGAGCCAAGCTGCGAGCACACAATACTGTAAAATGGGGAAAAGGGTGAATGGTTAGGTGATCGTATAAAATGCATTTTTGGTACTTACTCGTTATTCGAACTTTGTGTGTACCATTGCGACGTGGATAGTCCAATTTATTCATAATTTCCGACTTTTAATTGGTATTGTTGCGCCTTTGTAAATATACGTGCATTTATTTTGTATGCCGATTAATTTTTTATACGACAATTAGACGGCGAACAAGCAGCATGTTTGTTTCTCTAGCTGCTGCTGCTGGTTTTGGCGAAAGGAGGAGTGGGAGGTGATGGTGGTGGTGGAGGTGGACGCAGCAAGAAATAATTTCATTGCCGAAGGTAGCTGCTGTCTCTCCCTCTGCTGTTGCTGCTGTTGCAGTTCTTGTTGCTGTTTTCGATAGCCTTGACGCTGGTTGTGGTTGTTGTTGTTGCAGCTGCTGTTGCGGTTTTGTGTCATTGTATGCACACACACATAAGCATGCTAACACCGATTTGTTAGTTACAAAAAAAACTGCAATAGAACAGTATCGAAAAAAGGTTATTTTATCAATAAATTCGCCATTGCACAAACAATTTTGATAACGCCCGTTCATCACCTCTCTCTTCTTTTGCTCCAGCAAGACGATACAGGTGACAGGTAGGGCTGGGCTTGCAGGTAGCCGACAAAAATATGCACGAGAACTCACCCGAAATTGTTTTGCTGCTTTGCTGTTACCGTTGCTGTTGCTGCTGCTTTAAAAACAATTCACACGCACATGTCTCGCTCACTCACGTACGCACACACACACATGCACACCGACGCCCTTCTCTTGCAAGGCAAGCGAACTGAGGCTTTACTTTATTATGTGTTTCATAAATTGTATTAAATTAAATTCCACTAGGCGTTTAATTAACTTTAATTTAGCTGCTGCTCTTGTATGGGTGCGCCTCGCATTTGCATTCGTATTTGTACGGGCGTGTGTGTGTGTATGTTGCAAAAATTTGCAATAATAATCAATTGAGGCAAATTTGGTGGCTCGAATCACTTTAAATTTATTATTAACTATACACATGTGCTTATATGTACGCTCGTATATATGTAGTGTGCTCTATTTCAGCGCGATTGCAATAAATATTCTTTCGTTTTAAGCACGGCGAATGCGAGCAACGGAAGGCAGCAGACGACCGAGGGAGGTACGGAAGGGAGCAAAACCACGAGAATTTGTTATAAAGCGCGTGCTATGCTTATGCATCTATTCGTTATAGGTTTTCACTTTTCGATTAGTTAAACTACATTATTAACTGCCCTCTCCGTTGCTTTTGCGCACGTTTATAAACTAATGTATCGCAGAAATTAGTTCTACGAACGCCATTTTTGTTGGTGTGTTTCAGTGGTGGTAAACGTATTTCATCAGCCTTAAACCTTGTTGAGCACTTGCCATCACTGTTGACAATTCAGCACTTTAATAGCTAGTTCTGGCTGTGTCCAAACTATGATATCTCGACTTAATTAATCTGCATAAAATTGTACAATGAAGCGTCCACAAGCTTATTAAAGTAAACAAAATAATATACGTTTTTGAATAAGTTTCAATAGTTTTGTTAAACGAGTTGGCTGTTTTTCCTACAAAAAAATCTATTTTCTGTCTGTGCCGACTTACAACACTGGCAGGGCAGCGTTTTGGCGGCATTGCATTGTTTATAATTTAGTTTATTTCACAAAATCTATCCTGTTTCCATAATGTCCATTACTTTAGATTTCAATGGAAAGAACTTGGCTAAAAGCAAAACTCTGAATCTGCACTTTTTGCCAGCTAAAGTAAATGGCGATGGCAACGCAAATGTGGAAACGTACTTCAATAATTATACACATGAAGCGCCCGAGTACGGATCGGGGGTCGTGACCAATGCCTTGCGCGGGTATCCGCTGGTGGGCAATCGAATGCAAGTGCCCGAAGGCTACAAGGGGATAGTCCTGCAGGAGACGGAGAAGCCTCTGAGCGAGTCCACAGACCGTCAATTGCGTCTCACTGGTGTTTTCGACGAGTTCACCTACTGGAACTACGATAAAGTCCCATCAAATGGCGATCCTTACAGACAGGCTTTGCTCATGGCAGATGTGGCCCAGGCGGTAAGGTACATGAGTCTCCACTCTAACAAATATAAACATATTTGCCAATATTTTTAGCTGTCCGAACCCATTAGCGAGGAAGATTTGGAGACCGAAATTAAACGAAATCGGGAAAGCAAAAAGGAAAACAGTTCTTAGCTCTTTAGCGCGCTTACAGCGTTTATTATATAATATTCCAAAAGCTAATCAAATATAATCCTAACATTTCATACACTAAAGTCTTAAATTTATATAAGATTCCAAATATAAATACGGAGTTTAGTATCTGTGTTAGGTTTATTCATCGGCGTCCTCGAAGCGCTCATCGTCGTCGTCCAGGGTCAAGTTTTGCATGCCTCCTACTTCGCCCCCGTTGCGGCCCAGTGTTAGAGCATCGTCGGCCATGTCCTGGTCCTCCAGGACCATTCCGCCAGCATCTTCCATGGGGTCGCTGTCCTCCGAATTGCTGTCAGCCGAGTCCGGATGCATGGCCTGGCACATAGTCATTGCGCGGTACATCGTATCGACTGTATGTATATCCTCGGGCAGCAGCCAGCACTCTGTAACTTCCTCAAACTGTTCGTCGACAGCATCCTCAAAGTTCTCATCGTCTTCATCGTGCTCGTCGCTGCCATTGCCTTCGTCAACGTCTGCCTCTGCCCCACCACCGTTCTGCCCGTTGACAATGAGCTGTTGCGGATTTCCCCCATACACGCCATTCCATTCCACTTTGTGGTCCAGCATGAAATAAATGCACTTCCTTGGATTCGAAGAAATCCCATGAAGGCTCACTTGCTTCCACTCGATTGATATGCCGTCGGGTAGGTCGCTTGGTTGAAAAGAGAGGGAACTGAAAAGAGCAGAGAGCCGAGACAATAACAATTGCAGACGCCGGCATTTTGGCGAGGCAAGCATTTTTCGACCGACTCACTTTTGGGCTATGTAAATTGTGCCTTCGCCCACAATATTGTCGCCCATCTTGAGCTTGATATTGTTGGCCGTGTACAGCAGTCCATGTTCCGGCGCGGAAACTGGCGTTATTAATACCATTTTTATACGCAAATATAAAATTATTTATTTTGTTGGGAATTAATCGCTACAGCGAACTAGGGATGGTCGCACGTCGATGAATCCGCATTGACCAGGTACTCAGTGTTGCCAATTTAGCCATTTTCTAAAGATCTAGCGTTTTCCTATCGCCAAATGCGGGTTGTCATGTTATGTGCCTCTCGATACCCTATTTTCACGAATTATTATTAAAATTATGTTTTCCAAGCTGCTCTTAAACATTATCTTATCTTAGAATAACATATATTCAACCTGTTCTATTTTTTTAAATTTAATTATTTCGTTGAAATATCATTAAAACAGAGACAGTATTTTCTGTACTCATTGCAGCCAAAGAGGACATAAACATTTTATTTATAAATTCAGCGCCCATCTATTAGTAGTCCTCCAGTATCATCTTGGGCACCACGTTCATGCTGGTCAGCTCCTGGAAGAGCAGCTTGCAGGCATACGGCATGGATATCTTGGAGACGTGAGCCGACGACTGACAGAAGTGGCACCAGGAGCAGTAGGCCAGGCGGCCACAGGTGCGACACACATCCACCTCAAAGGCATCGGAGGAAATCATTAGACGCTCCATAATCAGCATGCTGGCGCCGTACGAGATGAGACAGTCGCGCTCCATTTCGCCAAGGCGCAGGCCGCCCTCCCTACTCCTGCCCTGGGTGGGCTGGCGTGTGAGCACGGCCTTGGGACCCCGCGCCCTGGCGTGCATTTTGTCCTGGACCATGTGCTTCAGCTTCTGATAGTAGACCGGGCCGGAGTAGATGTACGCCTGCAGGGGAGCTCCAGTGATTCCCGAGTAGAAGAAGTCCTTGCCCATGTAGTTGAAGCCGTGCCGCTCCAGCTCCGCCTGAATGTCGCCCACCTTTGAGCCGCCAAATGCCGTGCCGTAGTGGAACTTGCCCTCGAGTACTCCGGCCTTGCCGCCGAGCAGTTCCAGCGTCTTGCCCACTGTCATGCGGGAGGGGAAGCCGTGGGGGTTCATGATCATGTCCGGACAAATGCCAGAATCATTGTAGGGCATGTCCTCCTGGTCCACAATGAGCCCCGTCACACCCTTCTGTCCATGCCGCGAGCTGAACTTGTCCCCAATCTCCGGGATGCGCGTCTGTCGCAGAAGGATCTTGATGAGGAAATCCTCTTCCGAGTTGGCAGAGACCATCACGCGCTCGACATAGCTGGGCTCGGGCCCCTTGTAGCTGATGGGCACCGCTGTGTACGGCACCTGAGTCGACTGGCCCTCCAATGGATTGAGCGACGTCACCGCCGGCATCTCCTTGTTGATCATAATCTGCTTGTTTTGGATCTGCTCACCCGGTGCCACAATGCCGTCCGTGTCCAGGACATCGTGCTTGAAGATCACCTTGTTGGTGAGGGCATCCTTCACGGGACCCATGATCCGGTCAAAGGTCTGGTTGGCATAACGCTTCACCGTGCACTTGGAATTCTTGTACACCAGACAGCGTCCATAGCCCCGATCAATGGAGGCCTTGTTCAGGATCAACGCATCCTCGATGTCGTAGCCCGAGTAACTCATCACGGCCACAGTGGCATTCTGTCCGGCCGGCAACTTGTCAAAGTTTGTCAGCTCAATGGTCTTGGTCTTGACCATTGGCGCCTGCGGATAGACCAGGTTGTACATCAGCGAGTCGATGCGATTCTTTTGATTGTAGCCAATCATGCCCATGGCCTGCTTGCCCATGGCGCATTGATAGGTGTTCCTGGGGCTCTGGTTATGATGCGGATAAGGGACGAGTCCCGCACACACGCCCAGCAGCGTGAATGGCTCAATCTCCAGGTGGGTGGTGCCCTCCTCAATGTGCTCCTCGTTCCACGCAATAAACGAATCGTTCTCCTCGTTCACATCCAGATACTCGATGAGGCCATCCAAGAGGAAATCGTCAAACTTTCGCACGCCCCTCTCCAGGTCGTCCAGATGGAATTGTCTGACACGCGGACGTCGATTCTCCACAATGATATAAGGACGACACAGGCGTCCGCCATCGGTGTGTATGTAGATGCACCGCTGGGTGTAGGACGTGTGCACGGACACAAAGCTGCCCATGCGGCCTTTCCTGCGCATGTACCGAAGATTCCGCACCAAATGCTTGTGATTCAGCGTGAGGCCGAGCACATTGCCGTTGATGAACACCAGATAGACATACGGATTGTTGATGGGATTGCCGCTCACTTCCCGTATGTCCTCGACACCGGCGTTGAATGCCAAAATCATCACCGGACGCTCCTCCACCTCCGTCGTGATGTGCGTCATCAGAGCCAGATTCTTGACCAAGCCGCAGGCCTCGCCCTCAGGCGTGTCCGACGGACAGAGCATACCCCACTGACTCGGCTGCAACGATCTGGGACCGGACACCTTCCTCGTCTTCTCGAACTGCGAATTCACCCGCGTCATCATGCCCAGAGCGGAGATATAGCTGAGCCGCGACAGCACCTGGGTGACGCCAGCTCGTTCCATTTTGAAGCGCTTGATGGTCCAGTTGCCCGAACTGATGGCCGACTCCAGGCCGGCGGTAATCTGTGCCGCCCTCATGTGCTTCACCACATCGAACTGCGCCGCCTTAACCTTGGGTATGTTCTTGTCCGCAATCATTTTCAGCTCCCAGTTCATGCGCTTGAACAGATCCTCGAACATGAGCGAAATGAGGGAGCCAGCCAGCTCCAAACGTTTGTTGCCATAATAGTCGCGATCGTCGAAGAGCGTCTTGTCCAGCTCGGCGGCCATCACGCGTCGCACCATCATGGACACGTAGATGGCCTTCATTTGGAAGTTGAAGTTGTCCACGGGAACGTGCGCAAGGATCGTGGTGAGCAGCAGCTCACGCGCCTCTTCTGCGGGTGTCTTTGTGGTGGCGCTTTGGAAGCGCTTTACCACCAGCTTGGAGCCTGAAGAAAGTGGAAATTAGACAGCTACTTTCGGAGTAAGCAGCATGAGGATGCACTCACCCATGTAGTCCAGAGCTCGTTGCTGGGTATAAACCTTCAAGTTGAAGGCCTCCAGCAGGGAGGCACCAAAACGATTTTGTGACTTTGCGTCTATGCCAATGTGCGCCATAATTTCCTGGTCGGAGACAATTCCCAATGCCTTGAAGATGACCACAATGGGTATATCGTCCGTCATGGAGTTGTGTTTCATGTAGTAGCGTCCGTGCTTGCTCAGCACCAGAGTTCGGGACTTCTTCTCGTGGGTGGAGGACGTCACCTGGCACTGGACGACGCCGTTGAAGTCCTCCGTTAACATTTTGTTCCACGACAACTGCTCCTGGATGAGTATCACCTTCTCCTGGCCACGCACCACAAAGTAACCGCCCGGATCCAGCGGACACTCGTTCAGTTTGGACAATTCAAATTCCGACTTGCCGGTCAGCACGCAATTGGAGCACCTCAACATGAGCGGCATCCTGCCGATGAGCAGGTTGTTCCTCTTGATGCGCTGCGTGCCGCGAGTGTACTCAATGTCCACGGTAATGGGCGACGAGTAGGTCGTGTCCCTCAGGCGGCACTCGTGTGGCGTGGTCGCCTTGGTTATGTTGTAGCCATCGTCAATGTCGGGCTTGCCCACTCGCACATCCAAGTACTTCAGGTAGAAGAGGGGATCGGCTCCGCTGGTGACGAGCTCGTTTGCACGCACTATCTTCTTGATGTCCACATTGATAAAGTGATTGAAGGAGTCAATGTGCTGCCTGACGAGGCCCTTCACCTGTAGGAACGCCGGCAGTAGCTTCCACTTCTCCTCCAGCGGCTTGATGGGTGTCGCCCATTCCTTGCTGTCGCCTGGGTCCCAGACATTAGCCTCGATAAGGGATTCGCCTTTCTTTAGCTCCACCATCTAAGCAATGCGCTATTTACTTTATTGAAATTGTACAATCAGAAATAAACAAAACGGCATGCACGATGCGTTGGTGTTGGAAAACGCCATTCACAATCACATGCGCTTAACAGAACACTCTTCGCACTGGACTTAACAGACTAATGTTAAGTTGCCTCAAGAGTCATCTCCAAAATAGGTTCAATAAATTACAGCATATTAGTTTTTTATTTTCAAATGCAAAACTGCAAGCAAACATATTCAAAATGTAATCAACACGAAGCTCTAAACCTTTTTCACAATCTGCACCACATCCTCATCGTTGAGTACGTGCTCAATGCCCACCTTCTGCGGCTGATGCTTCACCGAAGAGCCCCAAACGAGCGCACTAAAAATGAAAGAATATTTCAATTAAAAATTCCCATTCATTAGATTTGCACTCACTATTTAAACTCCTTGACTATGGTGCGATGCAGCTTGTTGCAAAAGTCTTCGATGCTGGTCCGCTCGTTGTGCAGAACCACGGGCGAATTGTAGTCTGGCAGTTGCCCCTTGGGCTTGGTGTAAATACGAATCAGCCGCAGATACTCCCACATCAGCTCGAGCAAGTCGTCAAAGTTCCAGTGGTGATGCGCCGAAATTGGCACACAATGCGGAATCTTGTAAATGACGTCCAGTTCCTCAATGGAGATCTGATCAATCTTGTTCAGCAGATAGATACACGGTATATAGATACGGTTGCCCTCAATGACATCGATCAGGTCGTCGCTAGTGGCATCGTATCGCAGCGTAATATCCGCATTGTGTATCTTGTATTCGGAGAGGATCGTCTTGACCAGATCCGTGTCCAGCTCCGATTGAGTAACCATTGAGTTGAGATTGATGCCGCCCTTGTCCTTCCGTTTGTAGTAAATGTTTGGCGGCTTCTTGTTTAGCCGAATGCCAAAGCCCTCCAATTCATGCTCCAACAGCTTCTTGTGGCCCAACGGCTTGAGGCAATCCAGGACCATGAAGATTAGATTGCAGGTGCGGGCCACGGCAATCACCTGACGACCACGACCCTTGCCATCCTTGGCTCCCTCGATGATACCGGGCAAATCGAGCAACTGGATCTTCGCTCCTTTGTACTTGATGCATCCAGGCACCGTCGTCAGGGTTGTGAATTCGTAGGCGGCCACCTCAGAGTACACTCCGGCTAAATTCGACAGCAGCGTCGACTTTCCCACCGAAGGAAAGCCGACGAACCCGACTCTTGCATCTCCCGTTTTGGCAACCTCAAAGCCGGCTAAAAGAGATTACCAATTAGTTGTACATTGAAATGATGACGCGTGTCGACGTACCTTCTCCAGTGCCACCACCGCCTCCTTTGGGCGAGATCAGCTCCCGTCGAAGCTTGGCCAGCTTGGCCTTTAGCAGACCAAGATGCGCCGATGTCGCCTTGTTCTTCTGCGTGCGTGCCATCTGTGCCGAGGGGGACGGGGACGGGGACATAGACGAGAAGAGACCCAGACAGGTTAGTTTCGTTTCGTTTGTGTTGATTGGGATTCCGCTTACCTCTGACTCGATGGCCGAAATTTTCTCCAGAATCGTACTCATGGCTGCGTCACAGGTAAATACAGTGTGCTCAACGAACTGTTTTATTATTGAATATGCATGTAAAAAAATAAAATAACTTGGCACTCGCGTGGACAGCGGGAGTGACAGTGTTGGAAAGGACAGCAAGTCGGCATGATGTTTTCCAGCACCAAGAGCCACCTATCGATGTATCGAGAGCATCTATGTATTTCTACAGTTATTAAAAAACGATCTAGTCCCATCTCTATCTGTTTTATTGTCCCTGACCGTTTAAACACGGGAGAGTATTTCCCTGACCGTTTAGAAACAGGAGAGGACTTCCCTGACCGTTTTGACACAGGAGAGAACTTCCCTGAAAGCTCCAATGCCAAGGGTAGGTTCCTGGAGAACTACATCAGTAACTCTGGTTATAATTGTTTGAACGATGGAAAGTGCACCTTTAGACGTCACATCGAAACTCAAAGTGGCTCAGTGTTGGATTTGACCTTTTCAAACTGCAGCGATTATATCACCTGGAGCTGCAATTCAATTTTTGTTGGAGGCAGCCACCGTCATCATATTTACATAGAAATTCCGGAGTGCAAAGAGAAGCCCAAGTTCTTTCTTGCTAAGAATAGACTGATTCGAAGGCTAGCAGGTGCTACGCCATCAGGAGACATTTCAAACATCACAGAAAGCTTCACAAACAACATTAGGGCCTCCACCTACTCCTTGAGCAACAATAGATGCCCCAAGACTTGGTGGACTTTAATGATCCCGTAAATTGCAGCTTTAATGCAGAATGGTCCTTGCCTTGCCTTGAGTTTCTTAAAAGACAAGTCTCGAAAGCCAAGTTGGCGAAAGCCAGCTTCACTCAACATCGATCTCATCAATACCATGGCCTGTGAGAAGAAAAGGGGAAAATTCGTTTCATGGTCTCATTAACAACCATTGATAGTCATGAAAATATCGATAGCCCCATCATCGAACTGAAGTACCTGGTCAATGCGGACTCATCGTCGTGCGACCATCCAATTTCGCGGCAGCGATTAAATACCGAAAAAAAAAAAACGATCCGTTGAAATGTTCAGCAAGGGTAAATTTATTATAATTAATGCAGTCCCTGGACAATTATTAAGTATATTTCGTTAAAAGGAAAACCAACGACATCACTGCTTAACAGCCAAGCGAAGTTTAAGAGCCAGCTTGGAAATAATGCGTCGCTTTTGAATCGCAGCTTTACAACTGCCGCAGAACTTTCTCGCGCAACTGGCAGTCAGCTCCGGCAGACAAAGCTAACGGTATGCCCGAAGGATAAAAAACTGAAGTATGAAGGGTTCGTAGAAGAGGTTCCCCGAGTTAGGGCGTCGCATGAATTTGTTTATATGCCACCACCCAAGCAGCAACCGAAATCGCTGTGCGTTGCATCCAAATCCAAGGCCACCATCGCAACCATCAAAATGGAGCACATGGCAACGGCAGAGCCGCCAGCCTCGCCCATGACCAAGCCGGGTCGCGATTTGCTAAGCCTAGTGGGGCGGGTGGACTTCTGTCTGAACAGCCACAAACTGTATCCCGATTTGAATGCCATCTGGAACGTATATGGTGGGACTTAATATAATTTAAAAGCCTTTAGCCTTCATTATACATTAAATCGTTGCACATTTCATAGGTAAACTGGTGCGCGTTATCAAAGGAAAGAAGAGTGAGCACACCCTGCTGGTTCGCAGTGAAGGACCCATCTTGCAAGGCATTTACTACGATTTCGATGGCGATATGAAACCATTGTCCACGGGCAAGCTTACCCACTTGTTGCCACATTTTTGTTTTGTTTTTTTTATCTATGAACTGCTTTTCAGGTTGCGCTGTCCATCTGGTTGGCCGTTTCGTTGGCGTAAATCGGCTGCAGACGTTTAGGATCAACGAGGTAAGTGATATGGACTGGGAGCAGCAATTTATGCGCATAGAAAATGTGACTAGATATATTTTAATGCAAAACAAAGCACAAAAGTAATTTTTCGCCACAAGACTCTTGGACCCGGAGGGCACTTCTTCAGGCCCTATCGACAGGTCTAATATCTTAACTATGATTTATTCATCTTTAAATATGTACATACATAACTAAAACTCTCCATTAGATCTACACTTTCAGGTATATTAGCTCTCAAGAAATAATAAAGTAAAAAAAAAAAAAATTGAAGCGTTTCTGACGCACTTTTTATACTTTACGACTTCATATACTCTCCATACTTCAGCGTTCTGCCGTGCACTTACGCTGGTGACGTTTTTTGTGCCGGCGCTGACAATCTTCGCTGCAATAGGACGCATTGAAGCAGCAGTCTGACTTCGCTTCCTGCAGACATTTGTGGCACCAGCGCTTGCGCTTGATTTCGGCAATATTCTTTCTCATTGAGTCGAGTTCTTCATTGATTTTCAAAAGCTGATTTTCGCAAATACTAAGCTTTGATTTCAAGTCTTCTATCTCATTCCTTTCCTCTTCTCTACCCGCGAGCCGAGCCGACATCGAGCACCGACGCCGTGGCATCACACGCGTGGGTGCTGGAGTGCTTGCACTAATTTTTATTATTTTTCCACTAAAGCCTGGCGAGGAGGGGCGCACACGCTTGCCTGGAGTCGCAGTGGTTGTAGGCTCCAGGCAATGGGACAGAGCTTTATCGATAGCCTCTTTGGTGTCGGCGGGATCTGCGTGAAAGCTGAAGAGATCAGGCGATAATTTTGCCAGCAAAGTATGGCATGTCAACTCTTTCATGGCGGAGGCCATGCCTTTAGACATCTTAGCTTTTTGCTTAAATGGCACATCGCCCTCTATCGGAATAATATCCTTCTCCAAGACGGATGCACGCAAATGGTTTGTGCCAAAAAAGCGCACATCGTATTTAATCGGCGTTTTCGATGACACGCTAATCACCTATAAAGAAAAAGAGGCTGTCATACCTTGTCAATTGATACTTTATTACTACTACTTGCCTTTGCTGGCCAGTAGGGCGAGCCGGCTTGCTTGGCAAACACCACTTCATGGCGCTGAAGGCAGGGCTTGGCAAACCACATGCTGCACTCCGTCTGGTTGGAATTCCGGAAACAATCCGGACAACGCCGGATTTCCCGTATATCGTGCGTGACATCGCGCAACAGCCAGCGTGTTTCCTTGTACTCCTTTGCCGTGGGGCCAAAGAAGACGCCAATGTTGTGCTGCAGGTCGAGCAAATCGACAAGGAACTCCGTCAAGTACTCGTACTTCTGGCCCTCAATGCTACGCTCAATGTCCGCCTGGCCGAGCGTATTTGTCTTGAATAGAATGCGCCTCACCAGCGCTCTATCGCGATTGTTGTAATGCTTCGTCATGTACTTGTCCACATCTGCGGTCAGCCAACTCAGGTGCTTGTTCCATGAGTAGCGAAGCAAGCAACTAAGTTCTTCCTTGTCCAAATGCGGGGGGTGGTGGATCCTTGCCTGCGTCATCAGACGACAGGCTGTGCACTTCTCCAGATCACTAGACGAATCCGGCTCTACAATCGGTGGCTCAGTCTTAACCTTGGACTTCTTCCGCTGACGCGCTGCTGGCTTCTCGCTGACAAATGACACATCATTATCGTCCCAATCTGGACTCTCGCACTTCACAGATGGCAAGAAGTAACTAGGGCTGGTGTTGATGTTGCTGTTGTGGTCCAGCTGGTGGTTCTCCATCGAGAGAGCCGCCTGCGTCTGCTCCTCTTGGCTGGCAGTCTCGACGTCAGTGTCCGATTCATTCGGTGGGAATCTATACGACTGGCCCTTGTCCGAGGGCACACCGTACGTTGGTTTTTCCGGATGTTTGCGCTGACAGCTTTCGTGGAAGGAGCGCGAACACGATTTGCAGCCCCTTAGTGAGCCAGGCAGGTTGCACTCGTAGCAATATCTGTCCGTCAATGAGGTGGGAATCGATTTCACTTTCTGGCAAAAGGACACAGCCTTATGCATGCCTTTCCCTTGGACCACCAAAATACCCATGTTTATGGCATACTCCACAGCCAGGCTCTGTTCGTCTGTGCAAAGATTTGTATTAATAAACAGTGTAAATTCCGAAGCGATAGGTTTGCGCTGCTTACCAGATTTCAACGATCCAAGCATAGTCTGCTTAGGAATTTGTGCTCCATTCCTAAGCGGATTCATCCATTTGCGTATATATGCAGGCGGGAATGGATGTGACATCGCTCAATCTAAGCCGGGTAAATACATCAAACTTTTGTTAAAATATTTTGCCAAATGAACGACGACCAAAATAAACCAGAATCAGTTCTTTGCGTTTCTAAACTATCGATACTATCGATGGGCATTACATTTGTTTTTCAATTTGTTTACTGGCACTGTTTCACAATGAAAAAATTATGAATTCTCCGTGTTACACAAACCAAAACAACTATGTGGAAAGTGCCCGGGTATATTTAAAGCAGGACGCCACATGCACAATTGTAATAAAATGCTGCCTTTGCAGTGCCGACGCATTCACTGGCGTCGGATGGGATGCGTTCATGACACATTTAAGACGCCAACACACAGATGCTATAAAGCTCGACGGCGACGATAGCGAAATACAGGACGAAGTAGAACTAGAAATGGCAAATCTAAAGGATGCCGAAGATAATAGCGCATCAGAAACTGAGGAGGAGCAGGTACAGTCCTTTACAAACGTGGAGTTTCTCGATGAATCGGACGACAATGAATTGTGCCGCGGATCGGCATCAGAAGAGGAAAGCGAAAGCAGCCAAGCTGTAGGTAGTCATGTCTGCTGGCATACAGTTGATTAATTATATGGAAATTCTTGCAGAACTACGTCCAAAACACGCCCCAGAAACCCTTCTACAGTCTGCTTCGAACGAGTCCAGAGATTATCCATTATTTCATAGACCTTCTGGAACAGCACACACATCTGTGGCAATCCCACAAGGGGCTGTTCAGAAAGGAGCGCCTGGAGAGTGCGCAACGGGTTTCGGATGCGATGGCCCAACGTTTCGGTTTCTCGCTTTTGCCGCAGGTGGTCTGCACGAGCTCCCGATCCATCTGTGCCTGGTTCGAGCGTCAGTTCGCCAGTAAGGTACGCAGCAAGGGCTGGTACTGTCGCTATCCCGCCTACTACGACAGACTCGTCCAGTTCATGCCCACCAACCACATTACAGTCATTGTATGCGACGAGTGCAGGCGTAGCTTCCTCAACGAATACCAACTGGAGGTGCACAAGTACAGAATGCACAGCGGCCAGAATCCCAACGTCTGTAGTGTGTGCAACAAGGGATTCGGCTGTGCCTCCAAGCTGCTGGAGCATCGGGCCCGGTACCACTTCAAGCCAGTGGAGTGGCAGTGCAAGCTGTGCTCCTACAACGCTCCCTCCAAGTGGGACTACCAGCAACACCTCACCGTGCACTCCGGCCAGCGAAACTACACGTGCGAAGTGTGCGGCCAGTCGTACAAGAGCACGTCTGCTCTCGCAGTACACCGGCGGACACACTCACAGCCCCGCCTGGCATGTCCTCACTGCCAGAAACACTTTCGCGAGAATTCTATTCTCAAAAAACACATTAAGAGGGTTCACAAACGCGAAAATTCTAGAAACTACGCTTGCCGCGTGTGCTGGAGAAGATTTCAAACCGTTGAGGTATTAAAATTGCACGAACGAACTCACGTAAATTTTCATCACAACGAACTGGAGGACGATGCGGATGACCCAGAAATAGTCTCGGAGATTTAATAAATGTTTTATTGATATTTAAACACTAACTCGTTTCCCTCTTCGAATTCTTGGTGCACGACTGGGTAATTTTTTATTTCACTACCTGCGCTTCAACCTATTTTCCAACACACAACTGAAATAAATGACTTCAAAATTTTCAAATGAAAAAAACAAGCTCGATAACAGCATTCTATGTCGTTTTGCCATTCACATGATGTCGATTGCAACCCTGTGCAAACCTGATGGCGTGCCACTGTGAATGGTTTTTATCTGCGTCCAAAATGAGGCTTTGATGCGAAATCGAAGAAAAACAATCAAATATCTACGGAAAACTAAAACTACATCTTTCGTGGTCAGTCGCAGTCAATGTGCCAAGACACCCAGTCAACATACGCGTAATTAAATGTCCGCGCACAGCCGCTTGTGAAATATGGCGTTTAACAATAGGCTGAAAACGGGCTCGGGCTCAGCCTCAGGTTTATCCCAAATAAACTACAAATTTACATGTCGCTGCTGTCTGAAATCTGACGCGGAGTTCCTGAAGCTGGACACGATGACGGTGGCGCGCAATCTGGACCCAAGCGAAGCGGATAAAATTCCCCTGCTGCGCTGTTTGTTATTCTGCATACGCGCCGAAAACTCACCGGAGCTGCCGCAATACATATGCGTTGAGTGTAGCAAGAGCCTGCAAATAGCCTACTATTTTCTGCAGAATGCACTGCGCGCACACGAAATACTCTGCCGCAAACTGTGTCCGGGAAAGGTGCGACCCACGTTGGCGCAACGCTTTAACGGTTCCATCAAACAGCCAGAGGTGGGTGGGGGGTTGCTTTTGATTGTGTTGCGGTGACACGTCTTTTTATCAAACTCATTAATTCGCTGCTCTCAGGTGGCGCCGCGGCAGGCGGCCGAGGACCAGACGAAGCCCCAAAAGGCATTCCGCCACGAGTGCAAACTCTGCGGCTTTGTCGTCTACAATCGGACGGAGCTAAAGGAGCACATTCACCAGCACGTTGGTAAGGGAGTCAACTTCAGGGGAAAGCCTTCATGGCCCAAGGAATACTTTAATAGTAATCATAATTTCAGATGGCAGCTCATACAGCTGCAAAGTCTGCAGCTTCGTAACGCTGAAGAAGCGTCTACTGCAGGAGCACTACAGTGCGACCCATGGCATGTCGGCCAACCTGGCGGACGAGCGTGTTAAGCCAAAATCTACATCCTACAGTACCGGCCCATCCACTTCATCCGCAGCGGCGGCGGCTGCGACTGCCAATGAGGAGTTTAAAGTGTGCACGCTGGAGGATATGGAGCTGCTGATTCCCACAGTTCTCACGCCCGGTGACTATGTCCAACCGTCCATCGACGAAGAGCAAGTGCAGGACATTGAACAGGAGCTGGCCGTCAGCATTGGCCAGCCAGTTCCCGTTGCTGCTGAAACGTTAACCAACAATCTGTCCCAGATGCAGGGCAAAAACATGAGCATTGGCTCCGAGTATGTCCTTATGGCCGATGGCAGCATGCAGGTCAACGGAGGCGGTGCGTTAAAAGTGTTAAATTATGGACTGTTTGGACTTTGTGGACTGTTTTGTTATCCTCTTTTGTTTCTTGTCTTGTAGGTGTGGTGATAGAATACATCGATGATTGCAAGCCAAACCGCAACACCACTGGAAATATGAGCCTTCAAAATCTACTTGGAGGTGGCCCCGAAAACGAGCCCATGGAAATCGACGTCAGTGAGCTGATTGTGGAGGAAATGGTGCCACAGATAAAAGGTAAGTAAAAGTATTCCTATAATCGCAGGAGTATAATCCCCATCACCGTTTCTGTTTTTTTCGCTTTTCCAGTCAAGCCAAGACCAGTATCCATTGGATCCACTCCCCTCCTCAAGTATAAATGCAAAGCATGTCCCAAAGCATTTGCCACCCTGGGGCGTCTGAAATCTCACCAGTTAAGCCACAGCCGTTAGTACCCATGCCGTTAGCCCCCCCCTATCTATCAGACATTCCTAATCCACCTTGCCTTTGTCTCTTGCAGATTTGCCCAAGTTCTACTGCGATCAGTGCCCGTTCTACTCGCTGCGCAGCACTGAACTCTGCCTACACTACAAGGCATCGCATCTCAACAAAGAGGAAAAAGGAGGAGCAAAGGAGACCGTCGATGAGTGGCAAACCTATTCCTGCGACATGTGCCTCTTTGAAGGAAGAAACGCCAGGCATCTGCGTGTGCACTACACTGACAAGCATATGATTCAACCCACAGAAGTACAGCTGCGGCCCAGTTGGACAAGTGAGTCGGCCACAGCCGGTGGCGGGATCACTTCGGCTCGTACCAGTGGTCAGGGCTCCAAGGAGCAGGGCGCTCAGCCGCAGCACACCGAAATTCCACTGGGCATTCAATGTGAGTCTTGAGATGGTTACGACCATGACCAGGGAATTTTACTTCGACTTTTGTCTCGGTTATCATTAGATCATTGGGGTATTGCGGTGCGTTATGGAATTAATCGCAAATGAAAGATATTTTTTTGTATTTCTGATTGGCCAGCTTATTTATGTACATATATCCCTTGTCGGGCAACACACGCTTCCCTTCCTGCTTGCCTGCTGTATATGTATATTTGTAGCCCTTGCAGTTGCTTCCCTATTTCCATTTCCTTTGTATAACCATACCCCAACTGGAGACTTGGCATCTCTACATTGTATATTCTCTAGATCGGATATTTATATTCTCTAGTCCCGTGAATGCAATAACATAATACATGTCTTGTGCGTGTCGAACCGGGACTTGAGTCTCATAGATAAGGGCTTTATTTATTTGACTTTTCTTTAATTTAAAAATAGTTTTAGTTTTTATGTTTTTTTTTTTTACCGTTTCTCAGCGAAAGTTTTCTTCAAATTTCTGTGCAAAGGTGTGAAAATGCTTAATTTTGTTAGATTTGAGCTTAATTTCCTTAATTAATTAATTCATTTGCCGGTTATTTTATGGGGCACCACAGATACCGACGCCAAAAAAAATAAAAAGAGTCTGTCCAAACTAAAGAGAAGGAAAATTTAATGTAAATAATAGAAAATTAAATCTATGCCATACGAGTCTTTAGTAAATTGGATCTCAAGTCTTAGTTGCGTTCAGTTTTTTTGGCATCAAATATACGCGTTCGGTTAGGACCAAGGGGTTGTTGTCGATTCACTGGTTCACTTGAACAAAACAAACTCTTAACAAGATATTTTTCCACTTATTGATAATTGAATGAAATTGAATGAATAGCTGATGCAAGTCGAGAGGGATCGTGGTATGACTTTCGGTAAGGACGAGAACAGATACATAGAACTCTTACATTTTGCCTTTGCTTTTTGTCGTTCCTTTGAGCATTGATCGATTGTTAAACCGTTTTGCTTTTTAGTCGTGCAACCTCTAACAAAGTTCGTTTCTTTTTCTGTGTGTGTTTTCTTTTTACAAAATCTAACAAATTATGGTATCAGTATTTCAGTTGAATTCCCTGGTTATTTTTTCCATTATTTTGCGGATCCAATTTAATTGATTATTTTACAGATCCGCCTGCAGCTCTGGCGGCGGCGGCGGCGGCGACGGCAACGGCGACAGTTGGCAATCAGCCAATGCTTCAGCAGCAGCAGCAGCATCAAGATCAAGAGCAACAGCAACTGTCAGCGATAGCAACACAAACTTCCACGATAACGCAGTCGGGCGAAATCAATGTTGTGGTAGATGCCACACCGTTGTTCTTTGCGGCGACAGCAGCGGGAACTGAGACTGTGACTGTGACTGGGGCAGAGGAACAAGAAGAAGGACAGGGCCAGGCATCTCCGGGCACAATAGCCGCCGATACAATTGCCAACGGGGAGGAGGCCTATGAAATCTTTCCCGAAATCTCAACGAGCAGTCTGACAGCAACACAGCCTGGTCCGGCATTGCCAACGACATCGACAACGTCGGCGAACATCTCAATATTTGGAGATATGCAGGAATTTATAGACAACACAGATGTGGCTGCCATATGCACCATACCCGCCGATGACATGCCCGTGGTGGATGGTGACGATATTGTAATTGATAACAACAATATGAGCCTGGACTTTGATGCTGAGAATCTGTTTGAGGACTTTGAGGATGAGGAAGAGGCCGTTGGCGAGGAGGAGGAGGACGAGGAGGAGGATGACGACGACGACGAGGACGCTGAGAATGAAGATGAAAATGACAACAATGATGCGGCCACCGATCAGAATCTGCTGCTAACAAGCGACGACGACGATGTCGATGACTTTGACGACGAGCAATCAAAGCATCTGCAGAAACCCTACTGCATATTTTGCAACAAAAAGTTTACCAGCCAATACAAATTCGAGAATCACATGTTTGTGCATCGAGGTGAGTACTGAGAGCCCTCTCTCTGTGTGGAGTTCCTCTAATTTCTTGTCTCTTGTAGGCCTGGCCCCCTATCGCTGTGAGCTCTGCACGAATCTCTACAACATGAAGCGTCTCCTCATCCGGCACTACAAGACCGTGCACAAGCGCATGCCCACGCGTGACATGGTCCAGGCGAAGGGCGACAAGGTATTGGTGGCACGTACCAATATCGAGACGATACAACTGGATACGGATAGGAGTAAGCCAAGCTACATTTATTATACGCGATCAAATCTACAATATCTTAATGTACTTGCAGAGCCGATGCTGATGTGTGCGAAGTGTCCGTTTGAATGTGAATTGGATACGGAAATGCGAAAGCATTTGAATGCGCATCATGGCATCAATGATGGTGGTAAGTGGAGCCCTCTCTCTGTGCCTTGAAAGCATTTAAAACTAATTTTTTTCATACTATTTGTTACAGTATCCCTGCATGCCAACGAGGTGTTCATTATACGCAGTAAGTAACATTACAAAATCATTTATTTATGTGTATTTTGGAGTGTAATTTACACAGCTGATTATATCAGTTATATCCGAGTTTCAGCTGTAGCTATATTGAATAAATATCAATTTTATATTTACAGAACTACCATTTGAGTGCCCGCGATGCATTCGGTCATTTGCTGCCAAGAGCACACTGACACGCCATCTGCAGCGTAGCCATTTGGTGGACACTATAATTGAGATGCAATCGAATCAAACAACCAGCAGCTCAGCAGCAACAACCACAAGCACCACATGCACGGCAACAACTTCAATGCCGGCGAACACGGCTGACGATAATGGGAATAAGGGGCAGCAGCAGGGGACGGAGACTGTTGGCTATGGCGATGGCGATGTCGTTGGCGATGGCGTTGGGGAATGCGGTAAGAGCGATAATAGCCTTCCAAGACTGAACTCAAATTCCAATTCAACCTATGCCCAACACATGTCGACGCACAATCCACCGATTGATAAACTAAATATGCTGTTGTTCGATGGCGAACATGATCTTTGATTGTTGTGGTACTCACCAGAGGTAGAAGTCAAACCTGAAGAAGGCGCCGGAATAAAAGAAGAGCCGACTTCAGCCGCATCAGCATCGGCATCGATAAGAACAGCCATAAAAGCAGAATCAGCTTCAGAAATAATTCCAAATCCCCCCGACGAATCGCCAGAGCCACGAATCATGAACAGCATTGATCATGTTCTAGTCAAGGGCGAGACATCATCTGTGCCACACATCGCCACCACAACAGCATCATCGTCATCCACACCAACCCCATTTGATTTTGACTTTGACTTTATAGGGGATGCAGGAAAATCCAGACTTACGCCTACTTTTACGCCCACCCCGCCCAGTACTAGCAACAGTCAAATTGTCAGCACCACACCACTCCCATGCACGAGCACAAGCACCACCAGCACCGACGCCTGTTCACCCAGTCCCCTACTCAACGGCAGCGACAAACTGTTGACTGCCGCAATGGAGCCATCGCCCTTCAAGGGGCTAAGGTCGCGCACGCCACGCACCCAAATCTACGCGTGCAAGCTCTGCAAAAAGAGCTTCGATGAACTGGGAAAGCTGGTGAAGCATGAGATGGATACACATTCCATTGGCGAATCGAAACGATCGGGCTACGAGCACAGATGTGGCACCTGTGGAACAACGTATCGCACAATGGCGCTGCTCAAGTTCCACATGAAGCGCCACGCGAATCGCAAGTTTTCGTGCAAGTTTTGTGAAAAGGATTTTGTACACAAAACAGAAATGGACAGGCATATTCTGGCCAAACATGCCACCGAGAAGTCGTTTCGATGTTCGCTGGATGGCTGTCGCAAGATGTTCGCCTTTAAGCATCATTTGGTGCGGCATCAGAATGCCTCGCATCTGAAGTTGCGACATGTGTGCGCGATATGTCAGAAAGAGGTGAAGACCAGCCAGCATCTGCGGCACCACATGACCGTTCACAGAGGCATGACAGCCTACAAGTGCCCCAAATGCGACCGCACATATTTACGTCGCGGAGCGTAAGTACTCAAGAAATTGAAGCCCATGTAAACTGTGAAACATTTCCTCTACTTTTCTTAGCCTTCGCGTCCATGCACTGTCGGTGCATAAGGTGCGGCTCACGGAGGATGAGCTGGCGGAAATCTTTCGCCACAATGTGGGCTACACCAATCCACACGACATGAAGGTCATCGCACGCAATGGGCAACTGGTGCGCCGCAAGGAGCTGGAGGTGGAACGAGAAAATGAGTTGCAGCTGGGCGACGAACCATCCCAAGCAGAGGCGAATATTTCATAATAATTCAGAGTCATGCTCATGAGTGGTCCTCACAAACAAACACACCCTGTACAAAGTTTGTATATGTAGTCCATAAGCACTGCTTCCAAATGCAGTTTTTAACCCACACACACACACACATATAAATTTAATGTTCTGCAGTTTCCCCCCTAAGGCCTAGCATAGTTATCTCGTTATCACATTCATCGACCCATTACCGACAGATGTTTTTGCATATGCACCCTAAACTTGTACATGCAACAATTGTAGTTATTTGGTTGGAATATACACTTGTATTATAATAATAGCCATGGATTTCCTTTGAGCGGATCTGGGTGTGTTCGTTCCACACTTAACTGGGAATCAAAGAATCAATCATGATACGACCAATGCGGCGGCGGCTCTCTGCATTGGCCAAAGAGCTCAACAATAGTCTGTAATTGTAACCACATTTATTTTTATATTAGTCTTAGAGCCCAGAATGCCGTTATTATGTACATTGGATATTTGAAAGCAATAAAAAACCTGTTAGCATAATTTTTCCATACCTTACACTCGATGTTTCCATACGAAAACTTACACGTACCTTAAACTGCAAACGAACCCCATCAATAGTGTCCTTGTCCTTCACACCTTCACCTGGCAGAGTCCAAGTGCCTTTCCATTTAATTTGGTTTCAATGTTTCGGATAAAGAAAGATTCTTCTATAAATCAAGTTTACGTGTATTTACTTACATATTTAACATAATAACTTTCGAGTCAGTTCGGTAAAATAAAAAGAGTAAATTAAATTGAAGATTAAGCTAAATTAGAGATTGATTCATGAATACTTATGGTAACAGAAATCAGTTGCTTTTGGGTTAAGAAAGGTCCTCCATTTTCATGTTGTTTCTCTTATAATTCCACTGGTTCTCCAAGCTTCTTAGCTGTTGAAATGAAATATAATCGTCTTTGGCAAACTCTTTCAAGCGAGCAAGCTGTGTCATAGCCTCTTCAAAGGATACTATTGGATTGTGCATGAAATCACTTCCGTCTCCAACATACGCATTGCCCATCACGGGATTCAGCTCCTCCTCATTTATTATGGGCTCGTTTTTTACTAGGACGCACTCAAATGGCTTAACGTCTAGTGTTTCGCAGGTTGCGTTGAAGGTTATGTTGTGTCGCCTGCGCCACTTCTGCAGCCAACTGACTGAGGCCGAGAAGCTTTTGTGTCCCAGATGCTTGGCTATTTCCTTTGCCTTTGTCCTTACCAGTTGTTCCGACAAGCGAATGTTCTCGCTTCTGGCCCTGGTAAACCAGCTGTAGCACAACTCATCAATGTGGGGGATTTGGTCGTTCAGACAGTTCCTCTTTATATGGGCATTTACTCCTGATTTCAATCCAGCGTCTATTTTCCCTTTGTTTTTCAAAATTTCAGCTGCTTGGGTTTTTCCTATATTAAATCTGCAATAAGGTATACACTTTACATATGCAATTACGAGTCTTTAAACTATATCTACCTCCTGCCTAGATCCCGAACGGACAGTTTCTCCCTCTCCTGCACCTGGATCACTTCATTTTTTTCTGAAAGAGTCAGCAATCTACGGGGAAGCCTTCTTCTGCCAGGAGGCATTTTCAATTGCGCTGCTGCAAAGTCTTCTTGCGAAACAACTGGTGCGACACTAGATCCATTAACTTATATGAATCGCCCAACCAGGACGCTTAAGTCTTTTTTGTTCTAATTTGTAAAATAAAAAATGATTTGTATGTTCAATTTGTTATCGAAGGGATCTGATATCGATATCTGGCCAATAGAGGTGGGGCAAATCAACGATGTTTGCGAAAAGAACCACAAAAGAGCGGTACAATCACATTGACAGCAGCCGAATATTTTATTTCTATCCATAAATTAAATAAAAATCTTGCAATAAACAAAGAAGAACACAAACGGCAGCTAGAGAATCAACAGGAAACAGGAGCGACAATGGAAGCCGCAACCGCTGTTGCGGACTCCGCGCTGTCGCCCATTAACAAACGGAACTTGGCAAAATGTCGAGCGTGTCTATCTGTGAATCGAAAAACCGTAAAGTTAGACGCCGAAATGCCAAATCTGAAAAAGTCGCGGACCTACGGCCAGGGTCTAAGACAGTGCACCAACCTGGAAATGAGGGCGGTCAGTCCCAGCGGCTACCACTGGCCCATGCAGATCTGTGTGCGGTGTTGCCGCGCCCTCGAGGTGTCAATGCACTTTGTGGAAATGGCTCTCGAGTCCAATCTGAAGCTGTATGCCGAAGCTAAAACGGTAAAGCTACCCAGTCCGCCGGGGGAGCTCAAGCGGAAGGCTAGCTCCGAGACGTTACAGTGGAATCAGTTCAGTCAGGAGTTTGACAAATTTGTGGAGAGCTACGATGGTGTGCCGGGCCCAATTGAAGAGAATGTGCTGTATATGAGAGGTGCCAAAATTCCGCGTCTGGATGCGGATGTGTCGGCCAAAAAGCCCCCGAAAGAGGATGAAGGTATGGGTCCTTGTCCCTCTCCCATACTTCATATTGTATATATTTAATTTCATTTTTTTATCAGTGATTCTGTTTGATGTCAAATATGACAACAACGATCTGGAGGAGGAGGACGAGAATGACGGCTCGGATGCCAAGAACAATGAGACCTTCTTTGAGAATAGTATTACGACGGGCTCCCCATTGCCAGGCACTCTTCGGGCAATCAAATCCGTGGGCAGTCAAAGTGGCGAGAATAATAATAATTACAAATTTAACTTGAACAACAACAAAAACGGCGACATGTCCAGCTTCCCCGACGTCGAGTGCGACCTTATACAACGCGCTCTGTACATGACACTGAACGATGAAGACGGCAGCAGCAACAAGGATAGCGTGGCGCAGGAAGAGCAGGCCATTGAGTCCATTAAAAACCTTCTACTAAGTGGTAAGCCGCTGGAAATTGACTTTTGTTGTGCATAAACTATGAATATCCCCTTGATTTGTAGAGAGTGAGAATGTTGGCTCCGTTCAGGTGTCTTCTACCAGCAGCCCAGCCATCAGGAAAGACAGCCCCGTCATACCCGTGCTCAACTGCAGCATTTGCAAGTACACTCACACCGATTCGAAACAGATCAGAAGTCATTATATCGGCATTCACAAGATCGATATGGCCGAAGATGATATCATTGGATTGACCAATAGTGGGTAGCCCTCAAAGAGAGCATGCGAGCTAGAACATAATTCGTTATCGTTTTAGATCAAAGCTTCAAGTGTCGTCCCTGCAACAGCTATGACACGAAGATCAGGCAGGAAATGCAAAAACATTTGATTCATCATCATAAAATTGATGGGGATTTCGGTGAGAAGAGCGTAGGCACATATTCCTTATATCCTTATTGTAATCTGCTTTACGACTTGCAGAAATGTACTGCTATGTGCAGCAGAACTGTCCAGCTTGTCCTCGGGTATTCAAGGATCAGAGATCAGCTCGAACTCACTATACAAGAATGCACACTCAGGCGGCGCGCGAACTACCCGAATCGCACCCATGCGGTGCCTGCGGTAAAGTTTTCAACCAAAAGGCCAGTCTGCAGGCGCACCAGCGATTCTGCCAGCTGAAAGACCCCGTCCAATGCACCTTCTGCGATCAGAAGTTCAGCAGTCTGCGCAAGTACGAGATCCATTTGCAGCAGCTACATTCAGTGGACACGCTGCATGCATGCGAAATATGCCATAAGACTTTCAAGAGTGCCGACTTCCTGGCCGTGCACCGTAAGCGTCATTCGGAGCGGCACTACCAGTGCGACAAGTGCTCCCTGAACTACATCAACGCGGCCGAGCTCCGTGTCCACTACGAGCGTGCCCATGTCAATGACGACCAAGTCAGCTGCCTCATATGTGGCAGTCAGTTTCAAAACTTTGCCTTGATGCGCGAGCACGAGAACAGGAGCCACCAGAAGCAGGTGTGGCGCTGCGAGAAGTGCAACTTTGAGGCCAATTCGCGGGCTCGCATGCGTCAGCATCAATTCGAGCACACCGCTTATCCCTACAAGTGTGAACACTGCCCCGAGGAGTTCGCCGATCGCAAAAAGTACGTATGGGAGCTGAGAACTCAAAGCTGCCGGTAACAGTAATTGAAATATTGATGCTCTTTTTCAGAATCCGATTACATTCCAAAAAGGTGCACAGCATCGAGCTGAGCGATGAGCAGCTGGCCGAGATGTTTCGCGAGCGGATTGGCTATACAAATCGGCACGATGCCTTCAACAAGAATAATATGTCACTTGAGATACCCGGATTTAGCGAGGATTGCTTTAGTGAGCTGAAGAGCTTGGGGGTTGACTACGACGACATTACAACAGATCTCTTCTCGAATTCCAACACACTGGACGAACTGCTTGACTTGATTCCCTGAACTGAGTACCGATCCATTTACCTGCATAGAAGTGATGTGATGATCCTGAAGCATTAAACAAAACAAAATAGCTAACGAGAGCTATAAGACTGTATCCAATTTTACACCACACCAAGAATCGACCGACAGAACGACAAATTTCCATTAACTATTTTGCCCAGAGAACTCAGACCGAACCTGCTGCTGGCATTCACATTCACGTGTACTTCCGCACAGGGCACATAGGAACCAAACCATGATATTTTTGAAGTTACCAATCTCAATAAACCATTAGAAAAGTGCTTCTGAAGCGCCCCCTAGTTCACTTGTTTGTTGTTTACTCCGAACTTGGAATATATTTAAACTATTTCAATTTGAATATCTAATGAACGCCCTGAATGAATTTGGAGAGGAAATCGGTGGGTTTGGGGTCCTGTGACTCCTTCCAGTAGCGCATAATGTGGCCCTTTTGCTTCCAGATCTCCACCGTCTCCTTCAGCTCCATTTGCCCCTGTAAGTGGTGTAAAGGGTGAGCTGGTGGTGTCGATCGATATCGTTCTTATACGCACCTTGATGACGAGCATGTCAATCACGCGAATGTCGGTTACATGGCGATCCTTGACAAATTGCTCCCGCAACTTGGAGCGGCACTGCTCCACGGTCATGGGAATATCGTAGTCCATAACTGCAAGTGCATCATGCATTGTTTACTACATGGTGTCGGGACAAACATAGAGGGATGACATAACGAAGACCACTCACCGATATAGGGAATCTGGCGGTACCAGGCTTTGTAGAGGTTGAGGGCACGCTTGCGGGCCTCCTCCCTGTCGACGGACAGAATGGGACGCACCTGCTGCACAGCCCGTTTAACGGCTTCACGTCCGGCCATGTCGTTTTATTTTTCTACGGCCGAAGTACTTTGCAAAATTGTACGGCCAAAAGTATTAGATATGTGACAACCAAAATATATCGATATATATTTGTGGCAGATGGTGTGTCTTTACTGTATCGGTATTTTAATGCGATAAGCGGCACTTGGCTTTGGAAACACTTCAAGTTGCTTTGCATATACGTTACATTTTGGTGTACTAGTCTTTGCTTTTGTTGTGCTTGTCTTTTGTACGAATTGAAAGGACGGATATTGTGGGACAGCGAACAAAAAGTGCACATTGTCACAGCAACAATATGCACAAAGACAGCGGAAAAAATTACGCTTTCATTCATCAAAGCTTGTATTGTGGTTGCTGTGGCGGCTGGGGCAGCGGCTGCCACTGCCACCGCCACCGCCACCGCCTCGAGCGTGTTGTACCGATCGAAACCGATTTTGCGCTCAGTTGAAAACACGTTACGCGCCTGTGTAGAGCGTTTTTGCGCTTCAAAACATTTCCAAGCGGCAAAGAGCCGAGCCGATCTCAACCACCCTGTCCAGACGAGCTAACCGATTCGAAAGTTTTACACCGCGTGCATTGGCAAACAGCAACAACAACAACAACAACCAACCAACAATAGCAGCAGCAGCAGCAGCAGCAACAACAGCAGTGGCAACAGCAACAATAACAATTTGTATGTTTCGTTTGTGTTAAAGTTTTAATTTTTTATGCAAATGCATTCCGGCAGTCGACAAGCGACAAACTTTTTGGCTGGTCAACAATTTCTATTTGAATTGGCAGCGTCCCGCAATTTACCAAACGAGAAATGAAAGCTAAAATTAAGCGTCTTCGGGTGGCATTCATTATGCATAATTAAGCCAATCAATGTTATATTTCTCTCTCTGGCATTTGCGATTAGCCCAATCACGCAAGCGTCAGTATTTTGAGTTCTCTTCGAAACCAATTCGATACATAACTGACCCAAATTGCTAAAGACATAAAACATAATTGTTCGCCTTATGAAAACGAACCATTTTGGAGCATTTTGCGTGATGTGTTGTGTTATTTTTGTTGCTTGTCTCTTTTGAACTCTGTACGCAAATTGGCAGCAGTCGCCGTTAATTGAAAATTTTCTTTGTCAAGGTTGCTAACGACCGATTCCATTCCATTCCCCCCGATGTGGATATATGGGGCTGGTGGATGTTCGACTTCGACTTCGACTTCGACATCGACTCCGGGCTTTTAGTGCACGTTCGCTTGTCGCGCCGCTTCGCTCCGTGTTTGTGTGTCAATTAGTGTGTTATTCAACCGCGCAAATAGATCATTAAAGCAAATGCAAACTCCGAAAGACAGAGCAGAGAGCGGAGAGCGGAGAGCAGAGCTCTCTTTTGGCGTAATTGTAATGATGTGCAAATATTGAACACTGGCAGCTAGAAGCGCTGCTATGTTCCGCAGCCAGTTATTAGCACATTGATTGGCCATACAGACTGCCAAACTGGCTCCTCATGCCCCATTCCCCATGCCCCACGGCAAGTCTCAAACGAGTCGAAAGGCTTACCAGTTTTCTTCGCCTGGCTTTAAATTCAAGTGCGGCGCAGATTCGATATAGGCCACTCCTCGGAGCAGCGTACCACCAAGCGTACACGTCAAACGGCTTTTCCGCCTCCCCTCCTCCACAGCCAACCCGCCCGCGCGCTTATCACGGGTGGCAGCTTTTTGTGCGGAAGCCCTCGCATTAGGGCCAAACGAATCGTGTAAATATCAAATGCTCTTTGCTCTCCACACACTCGTACTCTTACTCGTATCGGCGAAATAATCAAACAGAACACAACACAACACAACACAATCGAACACAAACTCATAAAGTTGCCGGGCTGGCAAAAGTTATCACAAATAGATATGGCGGAAGCCCCTTCGTGCCAATCTGTGGGGGAATGTCCATAGTTTATGCGTGCAATAAATGGAAGCGAAAGATGCCCTCAATATTGTGGGTGCGACGTTCAGGGATCTCAGCGGATCATTAAAAGTCATTCCTTGCCTCCTCCCACTGTTCCCCACTCAAATACTCAGGTATTGATCTTTAAACACACAATAATTGCTTGCAGTATTTATTTAGCAATACACAACACTCACACAATCAGCTCTAGAACTTATTGAATAACTATGATTATTCTTGGACACCTGTTGAGCATTGAGCAAAGGCAAATAAACAGTCTTGTGACTCAACAAGTTGCTCCAATTTACTCAATTGACTTGCAGTGTTGCAGCTTAGTATTCGTGCTGATGAGATGATTGGGGCAACGTGTAAACCTCTGCAAGTTCCCAAGTTCAGTAGGTAAATTGGGTAAATATTTGTGCCATTAATGTCAGTTCTTTGCGATTTGAGACAACAACTTCAGGGTGCCGGAAGTGACCATTAATTTGGACACTTTTGTGTGTGTGTGTTTGTCCGCTAAATGATACATAATTTGTTTGTGCATAATTACAGTGACACAAATGCACAAACATTTGCACAGAAAATTATTCCCAAAATTTCTTTGGTGGGCTTAGGTGGGGGTAGGAGGATAGCGAGCACCTTTCACGCTGAGGCGCCTGTAGGGCATTTTCTGTTTAGTTATTAAGCGCCAAGAGCAGCGCCAACAACAACAACAGCTTTTTCCCCATTTGCCGTTCAGGTATTTTTCGTATTTATTTTGCCAGCTATGCGCCCGAGCAGAGCGATAACCGACAACGCGACGACGACCACGACGACCACGACGACGACGACGACGACGACGGCGACGTTGGCAACGCTGACTTCAGCCAGTTGGAAGTTGGTTCAGGTTCAGTTTCAGTTTTCAGTTACGTTTTGGCGTTTTACGGTAACGCAGCGCGGACGACAAATAACAGTTAGCCAACAATTATAGGTGCGTCTAAGAATACATATCTATATGTGTGTGTGTGTGTGTGTGTGTGTGTATGCATGTGTGTGGAGTGATAGAGTAAGAGGAACAATTATTTTTGGAATATCTTTGCAAACGTGTAAATATTGCCCTGAGCGCCTTACGATTGCTCATACGACGCGTTGGCTGCCCCCAGCCAAAAGCCGCTTACGGTTACTGTTCGTGACTCCGTTAAACAGCTCGTCCATAGCGAATTGTCGCGTCCACCATAAACACGTTCTATATACAGCCCGATCGAACCCGATCCCATACACAGGGCAGGGAAAAATTCCACTAGTCTAATCCCTCTGCCCCGGCCCGGTAACTTTCACAGCTGTGGGCTGCGGCTGCGGCTGTAGCTGTGGCTATGCAGACATGTATGCCACATATGTACACACATAGCTATAACTATAAATCCCATAAATTGCACAAACGCCAAAACGAATAAAAAAAATATTTACAACTAATTATGCGCCCAGGCAGAGCAACACACAAAACAAAACACTCTCCCCATACGGTAGTCGTGGTCGTGCCTTGAACTCGGCTTTGGCTTTGGCTTAAGCTTTTCTCTATGCAAAGAGGTTTCACTTTCTTTTTACGCCTGCGAGGGCCGTTAATCACATGATTGGGTAATAATGCTCATTGCAGCTGCCCCGCCTGCGCCACCGCCGTTATTCTTAACTTATCGCTCTACTCGGATTATGTTTGCTGGCCGCTTATCAGTATTCTTTTTTGGCAATGGCAGATAAGATTAACTGCGCGGGCAACACTTTCGAGTGTATTCAGTGCTACACCACCCCAGCACTGTCTGCAGCAGAGCTAAAAGTAAGCTTGGGTAAGCGGAATTCCCATCCCGGCCGAGATCTGACTAGATTGCAATTGTTGTGCGCACTGTTCACACACAGAGGACCCAGAGATGAGCGAGATTGGCGGCAACCACAGGCACCCCCACTCCCCATGAGACACACACACACACACACACACACACACACACACCTTAAAGTCGCACCAATTCCAAAGGGAAGGGGGAAAACTAATTTGATCGCCGGCTGATAGACGCACCAAACTCACGCAACAACAAAAACTGGAAGAAGGGGTAACAGGGAAACGGGTAAACGGGCAGAAGAAAACAAATTTCGAAAGCAAAGTTTTGGTTCATTTCGAGTTGGGCTTTTATGGTTTTGAATGTTTTATCTGAGCGTTTGGCACAACACAATCAATTCACACCCTGAATACGAAGAATTTGTTGGAGAGAAATTCGGCTTGGGCTGCCTCTGCCCATAGGAATGTTGCCAAGATTGTGAGAAATATTTATCAGAAATTCAACTTTTTAGAGAGTGAATGTGTCTGACTAATAAGAGCTTTGTTCTGCCTTGATTTTCATATCGCTTGAAGCTTATTCTCGATAGAGTCGCACTCTCGTTCACCTTATGCAAATTGGTAACGAAAATAACTCCCAATGCACTCACATAGTGCTGGCCGTAGGCAACAGCGATTTCAAGGCCAATCCTACAGCTACTTGGCACTGGCACTGGAACTGGCTGCGAAGCGAAACCAATCGCTGAACCAAGTGTTGAACGTACATATTTGAATAGCAAACAGTTCGAAGATAACACCAGAAAGAGGGATGTTGCGGGAGGGAGCAATCTTTATGAACAGTTGGCTCTCAGTGCTGCACAATTAACACTAACTCCCGCCATAAAAATAAACAAAAGCCTCGCGGCAGAGTTAAAACACACTCTCGGGGGGGGGGGGGGGGGGGGGAGTGTATAAACTGTTTTCGTTTTGCGTTTATCAGTTCCACTTCCAGACATTCATAAATTGCTTCAACTGTTGGAGGGAATCATTTAAAGTAAACGTAAGCCTCTTGACGCATGTTCGCAACAGCCAGCCAGCCAGCCAGCCAGAGGTATGAATAATTAAGTCAGTGTGCCAATTATAAAGCCTCAGCTAGGCCAAGATACGGCAGAGTCACTCATTGAGTCACTTGGATTAACTATAGAGTACTTGGAGAGAAGTGGCAGTGGCATGGAGTCCAGCAAAGTGCAGAATGAAATGCATGTTAAAATCTTTAAAATTCGAACGCTCTTTGATCAGTTGGCATGTGTAATGCCGATATTGTAATTTATTTGATGTCTCTGTATGTTTACACATCCCAGACTCAATCAAGCGCGTCTGAGTAATCAGCAAATGGAATACAAATCAAACAACAGCAGCGTAGAGCTGACCTTTTGTGGGGCAATTGAACGCCCATCGAATTTATGTCTACTATAAATTGTCGCTTTCAATTAAATTACCCAAGTGGCAAGGTGGAAAAGGTGGAAAACAAATACAAGTGTTTCTGTTTCTGTTTCTGTGTGTACAGTTAATGGACATGTGAATGGCATTGAAAGTGTTTGTTGTATCTGTTCTGATCGCGTACGTGTGCGCTGGTCAACTGATGGGCTTTTGGGTCAGCCATCGTGTCACATGCAGTCGATCGATCCGTCAATTGGCTTTGACTGCGACCGGGACAAGCCCCTATCGATCTAATTGATATTTAAGCATGTTACCTGCACGCTCTCTCTCTCTCTCTCTCTCTTTCACTCTATCAACGATCAACGCTGTAGACAGCGGCTGACCCTGCCATTGGCACTGGCACTGGCACTGGCGCTGGCGCTGAAGTTGCGTAATTGCGCATACGCCATGTAAAACGATGGCAAGGTGTTTGCTTGCCTGTGAAAGTGTCTGACTCTGGCACACGCACAGAATTGCATTAGTCCTAATCTTAAAAGCTTAACCAGGAATGACTCATATGTCTCGATTGAATAGTTACAGTTTATAGTTAGGTAAACTTTATCTGGGGTAAGGGAGAGACGGTTATAAATGGCGAAGAGCCTTGCGTCGGGGCCTTAGTCCGCTATGTGTCCAGCGGCCAGCGGCCAGTGGGTTTCTCTCTCTCGCAATCAAATGAAATTGCTGTAATTAAAAGTCCGATTTGTATACGCGAATTTTCACCCTAAGAGCATGGTTTGATGAGCCACAAAATTTGCATGTTTAAATTTTGACTGATTTAATTTTTTGGCATTTTTAAATGTTTTTTTTATTAATTTGTTTGCTGTTTCTTTTTTTTTTTCTTTTTTTGTAGCTCAGCGACAACAAAGAAAGATCCAAAGACCCGTTAGAGCAGCAACGGAAACGGAAAGTAAAAGCCAACTAACACACACACACACACAGCAACAGACAAGCGCACACATACACATACAACTATGGCGGAGACGATCAACAACAAGCCGAGCATACAGATTCGTAGTGGACTGCCCTCACCGCTGCCGGACAAGAGCCCCTCGCCGGCCACCAAGCTGCTGATCAGCCATGGCAAACCCAACTTTACCATCGGCGCCGGCAGCAAATCACCCAAGGCCGAGGAGAATGGCATGAGCAACAATCCGTTGTCGCCGCAGCTGAGGGCCAACAACAACTACAATGCCTACAAGAGTGCCACAAACAGCAACTCGAGCAACGGGAGCAACGGAAGCAACTCGAGCAACGGGAGCAACGGGAGCGAAAGCAACAAAGTCATCATCGGCACCAAATTCAATGGCGTCTTCAAGCCATCCACCAGCTTGGCCACCAATGGGAATGGAAGTGGCTTGGCGAATGGCAATGGCAGTGCTGAGAATGAGGCGGCCAAGGTGGTGCTGCGTCGCCTTAAGGTGGCGTCGGTATCTCCGCCACCCGTCGAGGCCGAGGACGACAATGTGCCGGAGTTCATCAGACGCCAGCGACGCATCCAAGAGCGTCTGGCCAAGGAGAATGTGCTGGACTTTGAGAACCGACGCAGTGGCTACTTCACCCACGTCATGATCTCTCCGGACTCGCCCAATCGCACCTCGTTCGTGGAGACTATGGCCAGTCCGGCAATAGTTCCGTCCCTGGAAATGCCTGCACCAGTCCACGAGAAGGCCGGAGAGGAGGAGGAGGAAGAGCAGAAGCAGCAGAAGCAGCAGCAGCAGCAGCAGCAGGTAGAGGAGCAGCAGTTGCATGCCACACCAGTGACTACATCTGCGTTGATAAGCGAACCAGAGACGGTTGCAGCTGTTACCAATGGCCACAGCGAGGCAACCACCACCAATGGGCATGCGGAGCAGGAGGATGTGGCTCCCGAGGAGGTGGCCAGAGCCATTGAGGAGGTCAACAAGGCGGTGGCTGGAGAGGATGATGACAAGACCGAGCCAGAGACAGAAGCAGAACAGGCAGCAGCGCCTGTGCCAGTTGCCGTTGAGCGAAAAGCCGAGCCGGAGGAAGAGTCAAAGCCAGCGGTCGCAGCGCGTACACCCTCGCCCGTGGAGGCCCAAGTGGAGGTTGTGCAGCCTGCGCAGAACGGGCAGGAGGCCGCGGGCATTACCATTTCCCATACCAATGGCCAGAGCAGCGATGGCCCCAGCATACCCGCGCCGGATCCCAGCGGTGCTCTGGGCGTCAACTACGAACCGAAGACCGTGGTGAGCTTCTCCCAGGAGCTGGGCGGTGGCGAGAACAACTATCCAGACACGGTCAAAGGGGTGACAGAGTCCGCTGATGGCGAGCTGAAGGATCTGGCCAAGCTGAAGTTTGACATCAAGAACGATGGCCAGGCGGACGATGTTCAGGTGACGCCCGTGCTGCGTGCGGAATAGAATCGATGTGCGGAGTGGATGTCTGGCCAGGATTAGTTGAATTGTTGTTAAAGCGAAAGAAAGAAAGAAAGGATGGATGGCTGCAGGGGGAGCTACTATGTATTGTGTTTTGTGTTAGCTGCTAAGTGAAGTGGAGGAGAAATGTTGCCAAATTTAATTTTATGCTTCGCACATCAGTCAGTATCGAGAGAAGAGAATGGATAAAGGATAATGGATAATGGATAATGGAGCATCCATGCCAATGACCATGGAATGTGACCAGCTGCTGTTGGCCAACTGCTAAACCAAACTACGTTTATTGCAATAGAAACCATTTGCTTTATTTAAATAAATTATTATTACTACAAAAACGCACGAATGACTTCGATTTTGTTTGCTTCGCTGGAATTATTTGCCCGATAAGACTAATCGCTAAACAACGATAAAGTTGATTTACTATCTAAGAAGGAGAATGTGCTAAAGTCCAATCAAAAGTCGAAGATTATTACATTGCAATTAATTTCTTTCGCAGCTATGGGAAGAATTCCTTGGGCGTCACATGGGAACTTTGTGATTGTACTTTGGCCGAGGCAAAACTTTTCTTCGAACTTTAAACGATTTTTTGGCTCGAATTTCTTAGGAGATCTTAATTATAAATTCATAATAATTATGAATACCTATCTCAATGAATGAATTCTTATGGCTGTGAATGAAAACTGAAAGTGTTTGCAGAGACGATGGGGGAGGCGGTCTGGCATTGACCGACCCTCAGGTGGTGCTGTTGCCTGTCCTTCGCTTTGAAATCAGTTGCCTTCCATGATTAATTGCTTTGATTCGGTTCGGCGGGGTTCGGTGTTTTGTCTGTGCTCGATAGAGTTTCAGTGATTGATTGCAAACATAATAAATCATAACATCATAATTCAATTGAATTGGCGGAAAAGACCAACTATGAGTCAGTGAATCATAGACAAGTCACGTGGAGCAAAGCCTGTCCTGCACATGGGGTTGGACATGGCTCCTGGTAACCATGTCAACTTGTGGCCCAGGCCTGTTTTGGGGGTTGCACTGCTGACCAACAGCCTTACCAACATCTGTCCTGCACCTGACCCCTGACACATGCGTTAAATCGATAGTACCTGAGGGTAGTTTTCCCCTTTTTGGCCAAAACAAAGTGACGCTCGCTCGACCAAAAACATTTTCGAATGGGGTTTCAGTTTAGTTTAGTTGGCCATGGCACTGCAGTCAGTTGAAAACCCAAGTAGATGAGCTGCCCGATTGCTGATTGAATAATTTTGAAAGCGATTATGGATCTATGTCTACAGGGCTCGCAGGTACGTAAGCCTCTTCTGCAACCGCTTGGGCTTATACTTTATGCTCCTCCTTTGCCGTAGATAAACCTCGCCACACGACAGAAACTGAAACCGAAGTACAACAGTCGCTCGTTGACGACTCTCCACAATCCGAGTCCGCTCTTGCGGCGTCCCCGCTCGGCAAACTTCCTGCAGCAACGCAGTCGTTCCTCGCCCTTCCTGGGACGACCACAGTCGGCGGATCCAAAGTTCGGACAACGGCTAAGCATCTACTTCAACGAGAAGGAGCTCAAGTGTCACAGCAAGGTTAGTTTTTGAGCTGCTTAGCCAGCTTATTCCTGACTCTTCTGCTTCTGTTCTGCAGCGTCAAGTGTCTTCCAACGATTTGCTCAAGTCCCTGCTGGGGGAGCCCATCAAGCGGAGCTGGTTGTGCCGCAGCGCGTGCAACTCCTCCGAGTCGGACTTCTCCTCGCACAAGCGCACCCCGGACAGCAGCGAGGAGGGGGAGCAGCAGCATCAGCAGCAGCTGGAGCGCTTCCTGGTGAACATGCCCGCGGGTGGGGATAAGAACAACAAATCCTTTGCTTCCAACTGGATGACGCAGGGTCAGAGTCTGGGTCTGGGTCTGGGTCTCAGCAATGCGGCGCTGCTGCAGAAGACAGCCAAGCCGGATCTTCCAGGTCGGGTGTCCTTCAGCAAGCCCAGTGCCACCAACCAGCACGATGCCGACTCCAGCGACTGCGACAACGACAAGCAGGAGCCACGGCCGAGCATCTCTGCCCCCGGCCCCCTCACTCTGCCCAGCTTCCATGGCAGCAAGGCGGAGCCGCCGGATGCGTCGCTCCAGAAGAAATCCGTGCACTTTGGCTCCACCGCAGCCGAGGGCGAGGTTCTGGCCGAGACGTACGAGTACCCCAAGTGCCCCTCGGAGAACTGCACCTGCAGCACGCGCTCCTCGTCCACAACCAGCACGAATGAGGCCTCCGCCGCTGAGGTCAGGTGCGCCTGCGAAGCCCCCAGCTGTCGCTACATGGCGTCTGGACCGCTGCTGGATCTCGCACTGCCCGCTCCTCCACCGTCAGCTGCGGCTGTTCAAGCTGCCCCCAAGGCCGCCACGCCAGAGCTGAACGTGATCAGGGAGTACAAGCAGGCGGTGGGGGTGCAGCTGGTGAGGAACAACATTGAGCCGCTGCCCAGCTATCTGGACAAGTATGCTCCACTCCCACTCCCACTTCCAGTTGCAGTTGCAGCCCCGCCAGCGGCCAAGGATAAGCAAAACAATCTTTCCGAGAGCAAAAACCTGGCCCCTGTCCTTCCTAGTGGATCTCCCAAGAACAACAGCAATGGTGGAACCTACAGAACTGCCAGTGCCAGCGGTCGAAACTTTGGGGCCGAGAACAACTTTCTGCCCGCGGTGATCCCGGACGATCGACGACAGTATGGAAATGGCAATGGGAGCGGCAACAGCAACAGCAACGCAGATTCTGTCATTAGCAACTACCTAAAGGTGGCATCCACTCCGCCATTTGTGGGTAAAAAGAAGGAGAATGTAAAGCCCGCCAGTGCAGAGGGCAACAGAAGCAACAACAACAAAACGAAGCTTCCAAAGACGGGAATAGCTCCAGCTGGGAAGACCCTCAAGAAGGCGGTGAGTGTGGGCAGCTTGCGGGAGGAGCGAAAGCTCAGTGAATATAATCTGGACAAGGTGGACAGCTGGATGAGCATGCAGGAGCAGAAGCAGGCAATGGCGCAGTTTGAGGAAATGCACAAGCAGGGCCTGGATCTGGATGAGGGCAATGACATTGACAGTGGATCGCAGCTTTCCCTCAAGTCAAATGAGGACTCTAGGGACTCTACCTACGATGAGATTGTGTCGGTAATCAAGGAGATTGAAGAGGACAAGAAGAGAGGTGAGTAATTGTACACTTTTAAGTGTGTAAACAAAAAAACTTATTCACTTTGCTCAGAGCTGTGCACTTTGTTCACTCAGTGGTTCGGTGACTCAGTTCAGCGTTCAGTTGTTCGTTCACTGGTTCACTTGTCCTCTCAGCAGTTCACTTGTTCGCTCAGTTGTTCAGTGATTCACTAGTTCCCTCTTCTCTCACTAGTTCATTTGATCAGTGGTGGAGCAAAGCAATGTCAACAAGTGAAATAGTGAGCGAACATTTAAACAACTAACTGCGCAGTTACCAACTAAAGAGGGAAATCTATTTTATGTGAATCTATGTTCCATTATCCACAGATAATTATGCCGAACGTCTGCCCAGTGACCTGAAGCTCAACCTGAAATTGGATTCGCGGTGCGAGACTGCCGAGACGGTGACGCTGAGTGATGGACCTGTCCAGGAGAGCGGCGACAAGTACAAGTAAATATCGGAGTTGACTTTAGGGAGATCGTATGCCAACTCTCTACCATTTGCAGGGACATTTTGGCATATCTGAACAATGTGGAGAGCAGCTGTGACAAGACGCTGATGGAGACGCGTCGCTCCATGCCGGATAGCAATCGCTCGGAGGTGGAGTTTGTCGTGGAGCCCGACATCACAGACGAAGTGCCCAAGTAGGTGACAATTGATCCAAAGATTTCACGCTCCTAGCCTTACTTTCTCTTGTCTCCTCTCTATGCAGACTATCGGAGCTGCTGATGCTGCCCAATCATCAGCTGGCGCGGCGCGTCATCGGCCTGAGTCTGCGGGCCAACGAGCTGGCCAACGCCATACACCTGTCCAAGGAGCATGTGATGCAGTTGCGCGAGGAGAAGCAAAAGTCACTGCGTGCCGAGAAGAGCAGCAATGCCGGCAAGCTGCGCGACCAGAAGAAACACTACGAGGAGGTGGTCACCCGCCATCAGGGCTTCATCGAGCAGCTGCTGAAAGACAAGGGCTCGCTGTGCGAGAAGGTGGCCGCCCTGACGCGTCGCCTGGAGAGCCAGAACCAGGCCTGGGAGCATCGACTGGAGACGGAGCTGACGCGTACCAAGGAGACGACGCTGGCGGGCGAGAAGATCCGACGCGAGCGTTGGGTACGCGAGAACACCAAGAAGATCAAGGTGGGTCATGGCAATGGTTCTTCCCTTTGATATTCATCTCCATTTTCCGCTGACAGGAGCTGACGGTGAAGGGCCTGGAGGCGGAGATCAACAAGATGAACTGCGACCATCAGCGGGAGGTGACGGAGCTGAAGCGCGCCCATCAGATGCAGTTGCTGGACGCCCTCGAGGAGGCACGCCTGAAGCACGAGCAGATCGAGACGGGCATCCGGGAGAGCTGTGCCCAGGATCGCGAGTCCATTATCGAGAAGGAGCGCACAGCCATCCGAGAGCGTTTCGAGCGCCAGCTGCAGGAGGAGCAGCGAGCCCAGGCGGAGCAGCGGCAAAAGCTGAGCGAAGAGTTCGCCGCCGAGCGGGAGCGCCTGCAGACGGAGCTGCGGCAGAAGGAGGGCGACTATCAGGCCAAGCGCCAGGAGGCGCAGCGGGAGCAGGACAGCGAGCTGGAACAGGCCAAGTTCGAGATGCAGGAACGGATGGCCAAGCAGGAGGAGAAGTACCAGAACCGCATCAACACCATCGAGCAGCAGTACCTGTCCGACTTTGAGCTGTGGAAGGCCGAGTACGAGAACAAGTGCAAGCTGGACCAGGCCGAGAAGGAGAATGCAATCAGGCAGCACTATCGGGCGGAGCGGGATCGCCAGCTGGACGAGCTGGTGGTGCGCATGGAGGCGGATGCCTTGCAGAACGGAGAGGAGCACGAGCAGAAGATTGCGTGAGTAAATGAATCCATGAAAAGCTGTGTATAATCAGCCACATTTGCGTACATTTCAGTCGCCTCAAGGACAAGTACGAGAAGGACCTAACCCTGGCCGAGAGTGTCGAGAAGTCGCTGCGTGAAAAGTATGCCGAGACGCGGGGCAAGTTGGCCGAGGCCGATGCCCAGGTGCGCAACTCCCAGGCGGAGGTACAACAGCTCCAGCTGGAGCTCAGCCACAGCAAGAAGATGTGCGGCGATATCATCAGTGAGCGGGACAGGCTGCGGGACAATCTCAATGCGGACATTCAGAGCGAGCTGTCGGTCCTCAGTGAGCGTCACAAGCAGGAAATGGAGCAGCTCCAGAAGCGGTAAGCAATCCAATCTTCTACAATATCCGCATTCCCTCATTTTGTATGACTTTTAGGGTACACCAAACCATTCATCGGCAGGAAGAAACCATTGAGATACTCAAGGGCGACAACGATGGACTGCGCCAGCAGTGCCTCAAGCTCAATGCTGTCATCCGGCAGCAGCGCAAGGACTATTGCGTCAAGTAGTTCCAATACTAGTAGCTAAAATAGATAGATACGCTTCCAATAAGTAAATACAAGAGGAACAATTAGAAATGTAATCGCTAATGGAACTTTAATTATTAATTGCGGTTGCAGCTGCTCTTAGCCGGCCTCGGCATAGAGTTGTAGCCACTGGAATATCGTGTCAACTCTTTCTTCTGCTTGCAGAACACAGACTCCGCGCAGACAAACGTCTTTTCCTGCTCACAGTGCTCAGCCTTGACGCCGTAGGTTCTCTTCCTCAAAGCCCTCAGAAGGCCACAATTGCGCTTGGGTGTCTTCAAGTTATGTGCGGGTGGCAAATATCGCGTCTTGTGGTTATTCGATACGTATTCCCATGCCGGCTGGAAGTGTCTGTTCAAGCCAAACCAGTACTGCGTGTGATTCACTTTCAGCGTGTCCAGAATTTCAAAGTGCTTGAGAGTGTCAAAGTCTGCCAAGCACATGCTCATTCCCATGCAAATGTCCAATGCAGTGGTCCAGTTTTTCTGCATGAATGAGACTTGTAGAATATTGTTTAGCCTTTGATTGCCATAATTACCTTTACAATACTGAAATAGTGGCAAGTTCCTCGCGTCTCCACACGACCAGTGTGGATGCTCAAAATAAGGAAAACTATGGATATGAGGAGAGATGGGAGCCAGCGGCGGTCTCGTTCTGGATCCATGTTGGCTTCAGTGTGGCATTGTCGCCATTGGCATTAGCAGCCACAAAATATCAAATGAGATTAGAGCATGGAAAACTCTCTTTAGGCATGCTAAATGGATTGGATCTAATAATTTCAGAAATGGGAATTACTTCCAAAATAAATAAACATTGCCATTTAATTATTGATGTATTAACCAGATTAAGTAAAGATAATTGCTTTAACCATAAAGCATACATACATATATCATAAAATGTTCATTGCTTTCAATGTTTTTGATTAATAAATAGTCAAGTGAATTTTAATTTAATTTTATAAATTTAATAACCAGCAAATTGAACACTGAATATTTCATATATTAGCTCAAAAATTCTATACACAAATAGTCTTATCCAATTCAAAGAGTTCTCCAATTTTGTACTTCTGTTTTGTTTTTGTTTGGATCGGAAGTTGAGGGTTTTTGTTTGAGGATTCCTCCAATACTCTGGTTGCTCAAGTGCTGCGTTCAAATAAAGTCAATACCACTTCAAGTCCACCTACAATTTTTCCATCTTCTCTAATTGTAAAAGTGCATTTGCTGAGCCCTTTCATTATGGACGTTGGCAAATAGTCAGTGGACAAGAAACTATTTTTGAGATAATAATCACCCTTGTTTATCGGGCACACGCCATCGCCAGTGGGGAAATTCGAGTTCTTAAGCATTGATTTACAATATTTTTCAAAAACGTTATTGAAAAAATTGCATGGCTTTGTGTGCATTTTTAAATTCATTGGAATCCATTCTCCATTCTTAATTTTCGCGAAATCCATCCATACGTCAAAATGCTCATCCAAATCAACGTGAAACAGGATGGATCCATTGATCCTTCGATATCGTCCAATTATTTTCAAATTGAATTCCACCAGGGTTTTCTCTTCCCCCTTTATATTCTGAATCGATTCAAATTTCACGTCGTAGTTTGATTTTCCCATGCACTGTAAGTCCAAAATATCGATCTTTCTTTTTTGCATATTGTACCGAAAAATATATATTCACCAACGTAACCAGCCACAGGATGATAAGAACATTTAAACAACATATGGACATTTTTTTGATTCGCTTGCTTCACTTTTTTTGTTATAAATTAGTTTGCGCTTGTACCGTCGCATCTGTAGCTCTTTATATACGCAATAATTTTGCATGTTATACGCCAATTATTGCACAGATGTATATCTTAATAACTAGTTGTGCGCCATGGAGGCGTGGTTCAAACTAATGTTTCAAAAAGTAAACCGTTGACGTCTTAAATTTAAAAATTAATGTGTGGCCACATTTGAGCGTCCGATAAGTGGTGCTTATCGCACAAAAATACCGATATTTTCGCCAGGGCCACAAATATGCTATCAACAAAAAACTATATATCGATATATGGATTGCACAGATAGCGGAGTCTTTAAAAATTATGCAAAATAGAAATTTGTCAACTATTAGCAACTGCTTTCCACTAGTTTGCCGGGTACGTAGGAAGATTTAGGTGGTGGTGCGTCGAAAATCTAATAGCTGTGACTACCTCATAGGCCATACAAACACAATGCGGAATTCTGCAGCAGGGACCAGTGGCCAGGTACGAGCTGGTCGAGCTCCTCAGGCAATTAAATGGCAAAGAAAGGGTGAGCATAGCACATGGCAATGCATCGTTGCATATAAATATAAAAGTTATCTTTTAGCTATTGGCATCCAAGTACTATTGCCAGCTACCAGCGAATGTGGGCAGCTTTCGGGTTCTACTTCAGCTGCAACAATTGCGGATCCTCACCGCCACGGAGTACATCTTAAGGTACGAACCCAATATTAAAATGATGATCATTGAAACTTACACCCCTGATACCAGCAAGGAACACTCGGAGCAGCTCCAGGTGGATTTGATTATATTTCTGGAAACTGAGTTCGAGCTCCTGGCAAATCTCTTTGTATCTGCGGCCTATGGTTTGTTCATAAAAGATGTAAATTGCTTTTCCATCTAATGCGCTTCTATTTTGGCCAGATGCTGAGTCTGGAATGAAGCTGTCGGCTATATTGACAGACGCCCTGGGCAACCTTTTTGCCGGTCTCGTGGCCGATCCGAAGATAAGCAGCCTGCGCTACGTCGAGCCGCTATGCAGAGCCCTGCCAGGTGAGTGGATCTTACCCGTAACATCGTTAACATCTTTATAAATAACACAAAGGTGCTTGTAGCTGATGCCATGGTCGTGTGTATGAATATGCATCTGAGCAGTCTGCTGGAACTGCACCAGGCTGAAGACATCAAAGAGGCATTTGCCAGCTTTAGCGCCTGGATCAATGAGGGAGTGGACGAACTAACCTTTGTGAAGCACATCTGTGAAAAGGTTTCGCAAACCGTCGCATCAGGCCTTGGTGCTGAGATTAACTGCAAAATTCTTTCAGCTCTTTGCCAGCCACCACCAGGAAGCCCTCCAAGTGCTGTTCAAGCAATCAAACATGGAGAACTTTAGGAACTGGAAGTTCTACCTCATCTTGGTGCAGTCCATAGCCAGCACCTGCAACGCGGAAACAACGGCATTTATTAAAAGTACACTCTGCACCCACTTGTATGCCGTTCGACTTGTGTAATTATGCATAACCCACTTTAACCATAGAATACCTCAAGAGCCGAGTGCTGCACATGGCTAGAACTGGTTGCCTGACGGCCCTCTTGCATTTGCTGCTGACGGCGCGTGCCACGTCAGCCTGCACAATGGACATACACAGCAATCTCGATAACTACGCCAAGTGGTACAAGCAGAACATTGGTGAAATGTCCTACCTCCTGCGACCAGAACATTTCCCGATTGCCCTGGGTCTCCTGGAAGAGTCGTTGCCCTATGAAAGCGAGCTGCAGTACTTGGAGGTAAGCACCGTATCCAAAATGTGCGAAGTTCTAAGATTATTTTTCGTTTTAGATCCATGCAGCGATTGCTCTTTCACCTGGAGGCCGCTTTGTGCAGGCGTACAAAACCAAATGTCGATCATATTTGACCCAGTTAAAAAAAGGGGAAAAGTCGCAAGGCGTCTGACAAGGCGATCTGAGTGGTTCTGAGCCAGAGTAATTTATTAATATAGCAGCAGCTGTAAAAAGTAAATGCTCATGGCTATTGGAGAGCAATTATGTTAGTTACTTCAGCGCTCATTTTGCAGGGAATGTTGTTGTCAAGGCTGAAAATTTGACTGCTGTTCGTCGCCATTCCATTGCATCTTATGGTCGGGGTGCACACAAATCGTTTGAGCCGCCCGCAACTGCTTGTGCCAATGGCATACGAACCACTTGCTAGAGGTTTTATGTACGCACAGGCTTTGTCTAACGAAAGTTCCGACTGAGGCGGCACGTACTCCTTGATCTCGTTATTGGATACGTATGAAAAGTCCAGTTTCTCATACACGTTCAAGCCGATCCAAAATTCTGCGCGTTCCGTCTGTTTATTCTCGAGCTCCTCGAAGGAAACTCTTGTGCGCATATCAGCCAAACACATTTTTAAATTCTGGCAGAAATGCAGGGCATCGAACCAGTCCATCTATTTGTCGCAGAGCCAGATGAGCTGGTTTACCAATAAGTAAGTAGAACATTATACCCGTACCTCCGCTTTGCTGAAGTAATGGCAGCCAGAGCTGTTAACTTCAACGATTTGGCAACTCCAGATGCCCACAAATATGCACAGACCGAATATGAGCGGCTTCACTTGTAGATCCATTGCGTGTTCCTTAACTGCAGCTAACAGAATTGCGGAGAAACTCTCTTGCTTAAAAAGTGTGCGAATAATGCAATTAAAGCGTACGTAATCCACTTACAATATCATCGCGATTGAAACAATTTGTTGTATTTATAAACGGCATCTGTAGAATGCTCACGGTTGAAGAGTTAGTAATAAAGTTGTTTCTGCACTTATATTGCAGGTCATTCCCTTGCTAAAATGTTGCACCAAGCTGCTGTTTGTCGGCACACCATTGCACATGGCGGTGGGGGTGCACACAAATCGCTTGAGCAGCCCACATTGTGCTGTCCCAATGACGTATTTGTAATTTGGCCGAGGTTTTAGGAAGCCACATGAGTGACTAACTGAGATCTCTAAATGGGGTTTCTCGTATCCATTTAATTCGAAGCAATACTCTGCTCGGTCCGTCTGTTTATCCTCCAGCTCGTCGAAGGCTGCTTTGGTGCTCAGGTCGGCCAAGCACATTTTAAATTTCTGGCAAGCAGCCATCGAATCAAAATAGTCCTCCTATTGACTGCAGATATCAGATACCGATTCGTTGCTGAAATAATGGCATCCTGCGGAGCCATCTACGCCGATTCGCCAATTCCCGATGACCACAAACATGCGCAGACCGAAAGTGAGCCGCTTCACTGGTAGATCCATTCTGTGCTGCTAGAGGTCGGAAAATGTAATTAAAGCGTACTTAAATAATCTAGTTATATGGTTGGTACGCACAGTGCTGCTCAACTACATAGGTACATAGGTTCAACACAAAAGCTTTTAGCCAGTTGTAAATTCACATCTGACAACGACATCGAGCAGCAGAGTCTAAGTAAAAAGCATGCAGAATTGGCTCTTGGCAAACGTAGCAGGGTGCTATGAACCTATTAAAGCTACTTGGAGTTCCATCTAACATTATTTGGAACTTGTACACACACGGGAAATTGGATAGTGTAATTAATATTGAAAACCATGTATGTGATTTCAGGTTTACTATATGTATATGCAAATTGATACTACTTTGGTTGTAATTACGAGTATGTAACCTTTTGTCCAAATAATTAAATGCGATGTTGTCTCAACTCTCAACGCTGTCATTACGATAACGAGACGACAGGCACACAAAGTGTTGTGGGTTTTCCGAATAAGTAATTTAAATTTCAAATCGATGCGACCAGTGCATGCACATTCAGGCTATTGCTTTGGGGAAATTACTCGCTGGCCCTTGCTTGTCACTCATTATGCAAAACCAATGGCCCAATCCTCTCGAGAATCCGCTATTAAGCAGTGGACGAAGCCGTCAACGCACTCTGCTGGAAAATTGAATGCAAACACCCGCCGCCACCCACATGCAGTGCCCCTCATGTTGTGGGGCTCGTGTTGTCAACACGAATGGATTTTGGGTCCATCGAGATTCACGTAAAATTCCCATTTGCATTATTCAAAATGTCACGCCCATGAAAAACATTTTTAACTTTTTAACGCCGCACACCCACACCGCACACCGCTTCCACACAATATGGTAAATGTTGAAAAGTAAACACAAATTCGGGCATCGATGGTCGAGCAAAAAGAGCGCATGGAAGGCGTGGTTGAACTGGCCGCAGGACATGGGGAGACCTTGCGGAATGCGAGTCCCTGACGGTTGCAACAGAGTTGCAATCTTTTTATGGGGCCAGACAAGAGCAGCTGTATGCCAAGGCTAAGGAAAGAAGAGCTGGCCAGCTGAGATGGGGATGCTGTTATCTATCCCAGCGGCTAACAGCTCATTTCATCGTGGGCAGGGGTAAGGTCAAGCTCAACCCTTGACCGGCTTCTGAAGTGCTCGCCTGAAGCGATACCGCAAATCGTGTGCTGACTGCATCATGTGTTAACAAAGTTTTGGCACTTTATCCATCTTCATGTATCCGCCTTCTGGCATCAAGGTCACTTAATGCTCTACCACTGACTTCGACTTCGGCTTCGGCTTCGACTCTGACTTTAGCTGACACTGACACTGGCAGCTCAGGACAAAGTTATCCCTCCTGGGCCGCATAGCATCTAGTGCACCTGTCTCTTGACTCTACCCGCCCCCACCCCAGACAGACGACAGACGACAGACAGTCAGACATTTGGACAGAATTTCAATTTCTTTGACACATTTTCTTGGAAATGCTCAACAAGTGCGCTGGCTCCTGCGACGATGCGGAAAGTGAGCGAGGATAAACCTGCCAACGAGCATTGCTACCTCCTGCCCCTAACCCATCCCAGTTTCAGAAAAGCTTTGACTTTTATAATCCTCTGCTCCGTTGTCTGTTTACTTTTGTGTGGGAGGGAGGCGGGCAAAACTTTAGCAAATTGCCAGTTTTGGCATTTAGCCGAAGCAACACCGCACCCGTCCCCACGAGATGTGTACTATGCTCGCATTTAAGAGATTATTTCGTCGAGGTGCCTTCACATTTCGAATTTAATGCTCGTCGTACCTTTACTTTTTTCCTCGCACTCGCGTCTGGGGTTCGTTCACTTTGGATGGCCATTCCGGGCGGGCGGAGCAGGAGTGTCGGCGGATGTTTCTAGGTTACAATCGAAATTCCGCTGTAATTTGCGTGCCCTTCCCTTCACCTCCCTTCCCTGCTGCCTATGCTCCGTGCCGTATTCCTCTTTACGGGCTTTCTCTTCGTTTCGTTTCGTTTCCCCCTGTTCTTCCCCCTCCCAGCCGCTGCTTAAGAATAAACACTGTCCTGACAACTTCCTGTTTCCTTCTCCACGCAAATTCGCAAGCCGCCAACTCGCCCACCCGGCCCAACATCACCACGCCCCCGCGAGCATCCAAAGGCAAGCAAACAAACATAAAGTGGAAGCAGCAAGCGGACAACCTTTTCTCATTTCCTTTGTAAATTGTGCACACAAACAAACACACAACCATATCCATATGGCAGCTCACGCAGAGTCTCGACAAATGTAAGGTGTGGTAAGGCAGCGTGATGTAATTTATCCTCTCTTTATTCTCATGCCAAACTTGCGAGAGTGCTCACCCATCCCACCTATGAGTGGATATGCTGCAAACAGTAACGGTGCCTTACCTTCTCAGTTATGTGCCTTGCGCGCACAGTGAGTGAGAGAGAGAGAGAGAGGGAGAGAGAAAGAGCGGGTAAAGGCAGGTGGGCAGGCACTCACTTGTTGCTGCTATCGCAAAAAGCAATTTCGCGGCAATGCGATGAATTGACAGCGGGGTCTGATTGCCTGCCCTGACTCCGCCCGTCTGCCTTCCTTTCATCCTTCCTCGTCTGGTGTCCATTTGATGCTGATAGCCTACACACACACACACACACACACACACACACACACACACACACACACAAACAGACAGGGCACACCTGTAGAGGTAGACGAGTGCTCACCGTCTGCTCCCTCTCCTCTTGAAGTGCCTGGCCTGGCCTGGCACGACCATTACGCTGGATGGCCCACCACTATGCACACATTGCCTGCTGCCAATCTCATTTGGGACCTATCCCGGGTATCACAAGCAGTCCCTCCTCTTTGCAGTCTTTGTGTCCAGGTCGTTTGCCATCCGCCCACCCGTCCCTCCCCCTGCCACTCTGGGCAAATAATCACACTTCAAAGGCAATAAATCGTTATTTAAATTTCATTTTCCACATAGCTTTAAGTTTCATTTTGCCCGGTTTGGCGGTGACTCCGAAATATGCCTTAAGAATTCGCTTTACTTGGTTATGAATCCCCCCCGAGAGTGTTGGCTGCCAGCGCGGCAGCGCTGTGTGTGTGCGAGAGGATTGTTTGCGTTTCATTTTTAATATATTTATGTTTATATTATTTTTTTTCTGTTTTGCGGGTTTGGTTTAGAATGGCTAACACACCTGCAGGTAGCGCAAGAAAATTGCTTTTGCGCTATAAAAATGTTGGTGTGAGTGTGTGTGGGGGTGTGTGTGCTTTTCCATCCCTTTTTATGCGCTTTTCTGGGATAGCTCTTCAGCGCGTCTTCCGTCTGAACGACCTGCAAGTAATCCGCTCGGAATGGCCGAAGGACGACAGCCGTTATCCCATATGCCATATAATCAATGTTTCGTTTCCATTCCGTCCTTGATGCAGTGCAATTAAAGAGAACGACTTGGGCGAGGGTAATGTGCATAACATCCCAAGTGCTCTCTCCGAAGAGCTCCACATTATAATTATCGTAAGCACCTACCTACCTGCCATCGGATTAATCTCTAGGGTCCATCCACGTTGTAATCCTCTGAAGACTTACGTCGATTTGTGTCGCTTCTCCTTCGACTCGAATACGATTACGAAATGCAACGAGGCTCCCTCAATCTCTCTTGGCTCCCAGTCTCAACCTCAATAAACCAACCCCAATGCCAATGCCAATGCCAACGATTCTGCTTATGTTCTCATAAATATTTGAGATTGTGTGGAGACCCAACTCTGATTAAAGGGCCAGCTCTGGGCTGGCTTATTCATTTACGTTTGTTTATTGAACTTAAATTAGTTTGATTTTGCCTCTGATGCCTACAGTTCCTTCCTCCAGCGCATCCCCCACAAGGCATCCTGGCAATCAAAAAACGCAAAAGCCTGAATGTCTGGAAAGAACTCAACGGAGGCACAGGCACAGGCACAGGCACGGGGACAGGGCCAACAAAAAGGAACAATCTTGGCAATCAGAAGCTAAGGGGAGCTGGAGCCCTGGTGCCTTAAACAAAATAAAATAAGCTCATTAAAATTATGAGCCTCAGCAGGTGGCGGGGTCAGGGCGATAAACTTTCTCAGAGTCTCATTCTGCGTCTCTGTCTCTGAGTCCTATGATGGCTCGACGCGTTATCCGGGACGGAGAGCCAAATCCGATGAGGGCGCGTTGCCATGCCGATGCCGATGCCGAAGCTGAGGCTTACTTCTGCCACGCTTCCTCCTTCTGCCCATCAATCAGAGCCGGATTGTCAACTTTTCAGTCTCATCTCTCGACTCCCGCCGTAAGTTAATTACGGAATTTCAGCGCCTGATTGATTTCCGGTCGCGGGTGCCAGAGCCTCAGTAAGGATGATAAATTCGTCTCCTTTATGCCTTCCAGAGCTGTCTGTGCCTCGTGTCACGGTGCCATCGCCTGCATTGGAGCGTGAAATCCAGCAAAGTTTCGGGCGTGATTGACAACAAGCACTTAACACATTTCTCATGTTCCATGCCCCTAATGAACCGCAAGTGCGCAACAGCTGAGCAGCAGCAGCAGCAGCAGCAGCCTGGGTCCTGCAAAACCGAAAGAACACCCAAAGCAAACGAAAAAGATATACGAAATCTTGTAGCCAGTTACAGAGCATAGTTTTGTCCTTTATTTATCTGGATGGGAGACTTGAGAGGGAAGAGGGAAGGAAGAGTTAACACACACCAAACAAGATATCAGATTTTATCCGCTTGTACTCTAATTAATTTGCTTTCCTTCTGCCGCCTCATCTCAGTGACAAGCATAAAGATTACCCTTAGGTATGTTCATAGGTACACTTTAGGTTTGGAAAAATATAAATATACATCGATCTACTCGTACTAATTCGCTACTTTTTGGCTACATTGTACAGTTATGCTTTAAGCCGTTTTGCAGTTGCATAACTCTGCAGTAAAATTCCATTAGGAAACAATTTATGTTCTTATTTTCTTATTTGCTTTTGGTTTTGTTTCAATTAGTTGTACACAATAAATTCGGTGGGCATTTAGCTAGCTTTGATTCGAATACTTTCCTCCCACATTGGATTAACAAATCAAATTAAAGCCTCGACCTTGGCACTCGCGGCGTATGCGCGATACAGATTGCCCCTTGATGTTGTGGCTGGGCGGGTGCGGGTGCGGGGTTGGAATCAGGAAAATTCTCTGTGCAAATTCCAACTTTTACGAGACAAGTTTGTTGCCGTTCCTTTTTTTTTTTTTTTGCTATATTTTGCAGATATTTTGGTTTGCGTAAATGTTAAAAATGATAAAGTGCACTCGACAGAGATGGTCGAAGGAGTGGGGAAAATGGAATATGGAAAATGGAAAAGCGGGGCTGAACACAAATATGAGTGGTATTTGGGTTTGTCGAGTGCTCTTGTGCTCCGACTCCGACTCCGACGCAATTTGTGCAACTTCTGCCTTTCCCCTAATGTGTAAGTTTGCATATGAAAATAGTTTATAGTTTAGAGTTTAGTTAGGGTATTTAGTTTGATTTGCTTTGCTTGTCCTTGCTCGCGTTTTGTAAAGGTATTTTTCAAATATAAGCGTATGAGTTCAGAAGAGTTAGAAGTGTACTCCAATTACCAATTACATTCACATAAATATATGCCAGATGCTTTGATTAAATTGTATGTTTTGCCTATTTAATATTAGTAACAACAGTCAACATTTAACAGTCAATCCGATATGAGATATTCGTCAATTGGAAGAGTTCTTGCAGCGCAGATCGAGGAGTAAACATCCCTTAGTCTAGACAATAAATATAGCTCACAAACTATGGATACTCATATGCATATATCTCTGCATCAGCATCCGTGTAAGTTGATCAACGTCTATAAAGTTCGCGCTTATGCATGGGGCGGCTGCACCTTCTCCTTGCTTCAGCCTTGCCCCTAGTTTCAATTGACAGCACATTATTGGACTTGAAATTATTCTCCAGTGGAACACATACAAGTACACATATAATTTACACATATTCTTAGGGACTACTCCAACTTAGCTCTGTCTGTATAGGGTGATGCCTGCACACGCGTCGCTGGGTCGCCGCTTATCAGCGAGGCCCACAGCACCCGAAAGTAGGTGCGTCTGGGCCCGATAAGCCAATCGAAGCATCCGCTATAAACAAACGAATTATCGCTGCCCGCGGAGGCCTGACCACGGCCAATGACTTGCCTAAATGGCCACTGGAGAGGCTATGGGGAGTCTGAGGAGCGGCGACCTAACATTGAACTTTCAATTTTCTTCGGGGCTGCGACGTAGAAAAAGACAACAATAACAAAAAAAAAACATAACAAAAGCGTGTGCCTCGGCTCCCTACGGCTAATCTGAATGGCACTCAAAATATTCCGCCTGCTGCTTTTGATAAAATTCTCCACTGCACAGTGGGATTATTCACGGGAATTCCCCGAAAAAGAAGACATCGAAAATGGACTCCGTGTTTGGCATTCGTCTTTCTGCCTAGAGCACATGCAGGTTCTCGCAGCTCTTCGACTTGGAGATGTCGCTGAGGCAGATCTTCTGTAGTATCTCCTTGGCCAGATGCAGTGATATGTGAGTGCGAGAGTGCTTCATCTTTGTCTGGGTGGCCTTCTTCTCGCGCACCTCCTTCAGGCGCATCTGGTTGAGGGGGGGGGGGCGGGACAGAAAAGTGGAAGAGAAAACCTGCTTTTAATCTGGTTAACGTTAGCCGGCCTGGTTTTCCGTTTCAGTCACTCGCATTCATTAATTAGTGAACCGATTCGGAAGGATACACCACCACCCATCCAGAAACCCCACCCAATTGTGCAGGGAATGGATTTACCGCGCCGTCTGGGCCACACTGCGGCTGTCGCTGCTGTTCGATGGATTGTGCTGGGGCTCGGCAAATCCATTTAACTTTGCTTCCTGCACACTTTTACCCCATGCAAGCACGGAGCTTGCGGGTTGCGTGTATTTCACGGCACAGTCTGCAGCCCCGTTCGTGGCCCACTCACCTGCTTCAATATGCCGACGAGCAGCTCATCGACATTGTGCTGTATGCCGCTTGACGTTTCGATAAATTTGGCATCGCGTGAGGCGGCCAGGGCTTTGCCCTCTGGGGAAACGACATAATGGACAGAATGGATAGAATGGGAAAACAAACGGCGGAGACAGCAATGAAATCAGGCCATCATAATTAAGAGGCAGCAGAATTGCGTTCGTTACCTTGTGATGTGATAAGCCGGGCACGGGCGAGATCCGCCTTGTTGCCCACCAGAATGACGGCCTTGTCCTTGGTGTACTTCTCCTGCCACAGATAATTGATGATTTCCTCGGCCACACGGAACGTGCCCCGGTCGACCACGGAGAACACGATGACACAGCCGTGCGGCTCGTACGTGGACAGGGAGTTCTCCACGCTCATCTCAACGCTGGGATGGTCGATGAAGACCATGTCCGACTCCTCGTCGTCCAGCAGCACACTGACCGTCTTCTCGCCGAACTCATCGTCTAAAACTCAGATCAGAATTAAACTCTAAGGACGCAAGTGGAAGCTGGGAAGCTAGGGGTCAGACACACACTTAGGTTCCAGCTACGGGTTCGATTCTCTACTCACTGCGTTCCCACTGAGCCCGAGGTCTCTCTCCGCTCTGGCACTCAACACTTACCTAGACTCGCATCGTAGGTGTGCATGTACTCCGAGGTCATGAACTGATTGACCAGCGCCGTCTTGCCCACTCCCGCATCGCCCAGCATCACGACGCGGTAGCGGGCCGCAGGCGGTGGCTCCATGTTGTCCGACTCGTCCGAGGACACCGGCAGAGAGTCCACGTTGGCATAGCCGCCACCACAGCAGCTGCCCTCGAACGGTGACCGCTCGCTGGCCCTGCTGTTGGTCGAGTTGACGCTCGTGTTGCTGCGGGAGCGCCTCGAGATTATGGAGTCGCCGCAGTTCACAACGTTGCCCTTGCTGATGGAGAAGTGTCGCAGCCGGTAGAGATCATCGCTGGCCCTCGGATTGTACGGTCGCTCCGGCAGAGAACAGACTCGCGGCCGAATGTGGTCGGGAACTGTGTGGGAAGCCACAAGATCTCAGATTGGAGGACCCCAGACAAAAGGACATTCCACTCACCTGGCAGCTCGAGAAAGTTCGACGTTCTCCGCTGACGTCCGCGATTGGAGCTTTGGAAGGCCAGTGGGCCAACGTCATCGTTGGACACTATGGAGGCATTGGAGCAGGCGCTCTTCATCGACTCCCGCGAGTTGCGGCGACTGGCCAGCAGCGCCAGTCCCCCCTTGGAGCTGCCCCTGCGGCGGGGCTTGTGCTCGGCCATCTCGCGCTTCGCCTTGGCCTTGGCCGGCTTGGTGGGCTTGCAGCCGCTCATCTCGAGATCCGGATCCTGGGTCAGGTCGCTGGTGGACTTGCGATAGCGGAGGGAGACGACGCTGTCGGAGCACGTGCGATCCAGCGTGGAGTGTGAGCTGTGGAGCACCTGGTAGCCGGGATTCGAGGTGATGTTGATGGCGTGACGCCGCTGCCTGTGTAGATTCTGCTGCTGCTGTTGTTGCTGCTGCTGCTGCTGCTGCTGCTGCTGAGTGGAGTCTGGATCCGTAAAGCTGAAGCTAGTCGTGGTGTGGGTCACCAGGGTGCTGTTCGTGTGCTGTGTGCACGTCTCGCCCGACTCCATGGACAGCTGGGTGCAGTCTGTCACGCAGGAGTCGCGCTTCAGTCCGTAGTAGCCGCCTCTTCTGCCGCCTGCTGCTGCTGCTCCCGAGCCGGAGCGAGAGCCCACATCCAGCTTGCTGATCATCGGCAGCTCCCACTCGTCGTGCCGTCGCTTGCTGCCATCGTACACGCCCATTGTGGTCACCAGAGGCAGCGGCTCGAGCGGCAGCTTGCTCCTCGGCAGCTTCTTGGAGCCCTGGCGACGCGGCGAGCTGGGCGGCTCATAGTACTCGGGCCCGCCGTCCGGCGAGAAGGGTTCGTAGTACTCAAACTTCTTGGAGAACGCCGAGTGCTCCGCACCGGCATTGGGACTCACGGCATCGAAGACGAACTTGCACGGGGAATTGGGACTGCGGGCTGGGGCTGTCGTCCTGCCGCTGAGCAGCGAGTAGGAGTCGTCTATGGAGCCCGAGGGCGGAGTCTGGTAGTAGGAGCTGGGCGTGGAGCTGCTACCATCGTCGCAGCTATCGCCGGCAAAGGATGTCGTGATCTTGGGACTCCGGGGCGCCTCGTAGCCACCGCCGTAGCCATAACTCGGACTCCTCGGACCCGTCATCGAGGGCGTTGCATACACCGAGGGCGGTGCGGCATGGTAGGGCCTAAAATGGATTAGCTGCGGATCTGTCTCGCATCTAGAGTGGAATCGAGTTTGGTTACCTGGCTGCCTTGGGAGTTGCTCCTCTGCCCGGCAATGGATTGCTGGCCGTTCTTGCCGTTGATTTGTGCTGGCCGCCGGCAGCCGCCTGCTGCCTGTAGCCTCCACTTCCGCTGGCACCCTCGTCCCAGCTGCGCTGCTGCTGTGCCATTTTATAGCTCCTACACATCAGCATCACGAGATGATAAGACAGAGAGAGAGCAGAGCATGGGGAATGGTAATGGTTATACTAATGGCTAAACTGACGGCTGTGCGAAAGATGCCACTGGCCAACTCATGTGTAAATACCATGGGCCATGGGCCATGGGCCATTACTCATACCACACACACACAGTTTGGGCATCCCCCTTGGGATACTTTGCCTAAATGGCCACAGAGTAAACATAATTTATGGTTTTATCTCTATTTAATCAAAGTAATGAAAAGCTGCCCATGGAAACCGGCAATCATAAAGAGCAGACAACGGAGAGCGTGTCCGTCCAGAGCCGTCCCGTCAGCCGCCCACAAGTCAAACCGCAAGCGCCCCTCGGGCAGTGCAGCTCAAAGGGGAGCTGGAAATAGACGGCCATAGCCTGGTGGCCTGCCAAGTGCTTCATTTAGTGTTAACTGTGCGCTTGGATCTACGCAAATGCTGTTGGCGTAAGTGGCTGCCCCAATTACGCACCCGGCCAGCACACACATTCCCCATTAACTTATGCAAAAGTTTCCAGGCACCAATCCCCCACATCCCTCTATGTGTGTGTGTCTCTTGCGGTTTGCGTGAAAGTTCTTTGCACACCCACGCGACACCAGACGAAACTTCTCTCTCTCTCTCTAATGGGATTTACCAGCATGAAGTGCCCGCAGCTATTAAAGTTGAGTCTGAGTCAGTGGCAAAATGTTGCCTACACTTGTGCTTGATTCATATGCAGATGCAGTGGAAACGAGAGAGTCTCCTAACGCACATCTATTACATTAATGTACTGGAACTTGTTTTGTTTCTCCGCCCAAGAGCGCCTTTTGCTGTATGCTAATGAATCAGCAACAAGTGTGTGCCCGCTGCTCAACCGTTCTGCAATGGAACTCCGCTGAGTGATTTTGTATTCAGTGTAACGAGCGGAGTCGTCCGCCTCCACTTTAGCACTTTTTATGGCTGAGCAGAGAGGTCGGATCCCCGCGGGCCAACTGTTGCAAGTGCTCACAGCGCCGACGACACGGGGCAGCACTTCATGTGTATCCCATTGCAGTGTGGGGCTGCCCTTAGCCTTCTCTTACTGGGTATCCGCTTAGCTCGAAATGTGACTCTCAACTGGTGGTCGACCGGTTGTCGGTGTTGTGTTCTCAACCTGCGGGCCATTATTATCTATCGGATGTACAAATAGCACCCACACACACACACACACACACACATGTGTGCATGTGCGTGAGTACGTGTCCATATTGTTGAGCAAATAGAGGAAAGCCAAAGCCAGCCAATACCCTCGTACTCGGTGTCGTACCTGTTGGCTGTGTTCTCCCCCAGGGATTGCCCTTGAATTTGTGTTCCTTAATTTAAAGCTCGGCAGCCAGGCTGACTCTCTGTGTGAGCCTTTCCCCCACGAGGCAACAATTAGTCGAGCCATCGATTCAGGGGGTTTCCCACTTGTTATCGTTACACTTTCCGTTGCGTTCTCTTTTTTGCTCCCTTTGTTCACATAATACGCTGGACTGGCCTGTTGCCACCGCAACCAATGAAACGAATGGTTGGACGTTGGCCCCTGGTTGGTCTTTGGGGTTTGGGGGGGAGGTGGAAAATGAAATGATAACAGCAAACCGAACAAAAAATATGCGAGTCCAGAGCTCACCTTTTCCTCTATCTTATTTTCCATCCTAACCCATCCCAACAGTTTTTTGGGGCCAACAAATCAATACAATTTCGAGCTAAACCCTCTTGGGTATGTGGCATTTCTGCCGGACGCATTCAAATGTTTTGAATAGTTCGGTGCGTCACAAAAGGGGCGAGGGAGGGGCCTGGGAGATTATTGTATTAGCCGTGGAAGGGTCTTTCGATGGAAAAAGGTAAGCTTACATAAACATAATAATCGTTGCAGATTTGTGAATTATTAGGCAAATACAATACAATCCGGGCTTATCCTACGCATCCTCCGATTGGGTCAATCATTCAGAGCAGAATGAATTTTTAATGGAACGTGTGGCAGGCAGGCCCAACTTCAAATCGAGTCTCGATTCTAAGGCATGCATAGGTAAGCGGACAGAGGACACGGAGGACCTATTGTGTGCCTGATTTGACTGTGGGGCTTAAGAGCAATTTGCATACCGAAAGAGGTTGCCTGCTTGGCCCGGAATGCGTGGGACACTCGCCCTACGCCCTGCTTCAATCAGTTTTATGGCTTCCTTCTGGCCTTTTGTGTGGCGCAACCTGCAGTGGCGGTGGAGGTTTCCGTTTCCTTTTGCACCTTCCACAGCGCAGGGCAATGTCTATCGTCATTACTTATGGTGGCCATGCACTCTCCCCCACTCAGTTACCGGCCCCATAAATGAGTTCATCGGCAACCCTTTGGCAAACTTGCCTTAATTACATGGCCATGCCCGGCACCCGTTAAAGGGTGCTTAACAGCTCCGGCAACCCCTCGACTTGCCGCACAAATATTAACTTGGCTTCCCCCCCCTTATCCATCCATTTATCTTTCTCCTTTTGGCACCCTTTCCTATCCCCTCCTGTGGCTCTCTCTCTCTCTGCTGCAAAAATAAACTCGAGTGGAGCGCATAGTGCGAGAAAAACAAACAAGAAAAGTCCATAAAACACTTAAGATCAAAGTATACAAAAGTCGCTACACATGCACGCATGTGTGTGTGTGTGTGTGTGTATGTGTTTATTGCTGTATGAGGAGAAGACCAGAAACCATAGCCTAACTAGCGGGGCAGGCCTCAATGAGTCCACTCCGAATGGCAAACAGAAAATTACAAATCCTGGCCAAAGTCACGTCGCAACTTGGTCATTAGCCACCACTTGTGGCACTGCCCATCCATCGATTTTATTGCAACACATAATTCTTGGAGCCAGGCCGGGGCTTGCCATTTGTGCAAATCTCATGTTGATGGCATATTAAGTGACCTCCTGGCTGGTATTTAGCCTCCACACTGCCAGCGTGTGCGTGTGGCAGCCAATTTGCACTTTAAATGCTGGTTGGGGTGTGCTGTAGTCATTGGCGGCAGTAAAAGCAGAAGCGGGAGCAGTCAAACAGGGAGCACAACAAGTGCAGACGAGCCGGAGTTACGTGTAATTAGAGGCGTCTGGGCGGGAGGATTAGCAATTAAGCGAGTGTCCTGCGAGCGCAACAAGTGCCACACGGCAGTGGCAGTGGCAGCAACAATGACAATAAGGATTCGCGTAATCCCAGTCACACACGAGGAGCACGGGGGAGCTGGGACAAAGCGAGCAAAGAGAGAGCAGCGCATAAATCAACATGTCAAATCGCAGCTTACAAAGTGCCCACCCAGACACACGCATACACACACACACACACGCGTATACACACAAGTATAGATACCCTCTCCCTTACTCTCATTATGAGGGATGCATTAGCATTAAATGTTTACCATTTTCAGCACATTTGCAGGATAATTTTGTCTGCTGAGCGAAGTTTACTAATTGTCCAACACCACACCACACTCTGTCACCGTCACCGTCAACACACCACACCGTTAAGGTGGCACCGAAAACAAACACCCACACAACGGTGAGCAACAGTTTGGACGCAGCACACACACACACACACACACACGCACACAAGCCAAGAGCTGCGGTGCGCTCTGCACTTCCGTTTCCGCCTCCGGTTGCCGCACACTCAAAAATGTCCGCGCGGACGAAGCTGCAGCGGTCGCTGCTCGAGCTGAACTGTGTACAGAACTCGTACTGCGGCAGGCTGGCTCCTCAAGGCAGCTCACTGGCTGCCGGAAAGCGAAAGCTCACTGAAAGTGAAAGCTTTCCCTGCCACTCTCTGCCTGGGAGACACACAGCGTGGAGCAAAAGCCGCGCCATATGCAACAGAGTTGAGGCGAAATGTACCTAACGCTGCGAGCATTTCGACTGCAGGTTTAGGCAGTGCCAAGAAAAAGTTAAGTAATTATGTAAAAGATGCACTAATAGGGTTGAAGATTAGCTTGTTTACGGCTCTCTGGCAGGATAAATATTTCTTCTTTGTTTTGGGATATACTTTTGTGTTTTGTTTTATTTTGGTTTTGTTTGTTTAGAATATCAACTTAGACTCTATGCTTAACACTCGCTTATAAAATAAATAGTCTGGAAGTCTTCGGCTTACAATATAGAGAAGCGATTGTGCGCGGGGGGGGGAGAGTATATCAATGTACAATTTGGATTGGATTGGATACAGGATGTGTGGTGATCTGGTGTGAAAGGTCGCGGGTAAGGTGTACGTGTGAATAAATTCTCATGATGGCTCATCTTAGAGCTGCCTTAGAGGGCGGCAACGCGTGTGGCAAGCTGCTCCAGCTCGCTGTAAATGCTGGCTGGCAGATCGGAGCCAACTTGGGAGTCGAAGTATGTGCGGATATCCTGCACCTCCTGCGACCAAAAGTCCCTGGGCAGCGAGAAGAGTTCGCTCTCGTCGATCTGCTCCTTCATGCCGGCCAGGTTGAGGGCTCCCTCCGCGGGAATGTGTCCAATGGCCGAGTCCACGAAGCACGACTCGCCGTTCACGCGGCGCAGAATCCACTCGAGCACGCGAGAGTTCTCCCCGTATCCGGGCCACATGAACTTGCCCTCGGCACTCTTGCGGAACCAGTTCACGTGGAAGATCTTGGGCACCTTGCCCCTCTTCTCCATGCTCAGCCAGTGGGCCACGTAGTCCCCGAAGTTGTACCCAAAGAAGGGGCGCATGGCGAAGGGATCGTGCATGATCACCTTGCCCTTGTGCTCGGCTGCGGCTGTGGACTCGCTCCTCATGGCAGCGCCAATGAAGACGCCGTGCGTCCAGTCGCGGGCCTCGTAGATGAGGGGAACGCCAGCCGGGCGACGACCTCCGAAGAGCATGGCGGAAATGGGCACGCCAGCCGGATCCTCCCAGGCGCCATCGATGATGGGGCACTGGGCGGCGGGAGTGCAGAAGCGGGAGTTGGGGTGGGCGGCTGGCTTTCCGGAGTCCTTGCTCCATGGCTTGCCCAGCCAGTCGGTGATCTGCACATTGGGAGCCAGGCTGCTCTCCATGCCCTCCCAGAAGACGCCGCCGTCGGAGGTGGAGGCCACATTGGTGAAGATTGTGTCCTTGAAGACGGTGTTCATGGCAATGGGATTCGTCTCCATCGATGTGCCTGGGGCAACACCAAAGAATCCGTTCTCCGGGTTGATGGCCCGCAGCACGCCCTGCGAGTCGAACTTCATCCAGGCGATGTCGTCGCCCACACACTCCACCTTGTAGTCGGCCAGCGAGGGGTTCAGCATGGCCAGGTTGGTCTTGCCGCAGGCGGATGGGAAGGCGGCAGTGATGTACTTCTTCTCCCCCTGGGGATTGGTGATGCCCAGGATGAGCATGTGCTCGGCCAGCCAGCCCTCGCGCTTGGCAATGGTGCTGCCGATTCGCAGGGCGAAGCACTTCTTGCCCAGCAGCGAGTTGCCGCCGTAGCCCGAGCCGTAGGAGACAATCAGGTTCTCCGCGGGCTTGTGCAGGATGATGGTGCGCTCTGGGTCGCAGGGCCAGGAGGGCTGTTCCACCTGGCCACTGGCCGGGGCTCCAACGGAGTGCAGGGCGCGGACGAACTCCTCCTTCTTGGCCAGCTGGCGCAGAACTGCGGCTCCCATGCGGGTCATGATGCGCATGGACGCCACCACGTAGGCGGAATCGGTGAGCTCAATGCCGATCTTGGAGAGTGGCGAGCCGACGGGGCCCATGCTGAAGGGCACCACGTACATGGTGCGTCCCTTCATGCAGCCGGGGAAGCGCTGCTGAATGGCCGTCTCCATGTCCGCGGGGGAGATCCAGTTGCCCAGAGTTCCCTTGACGCCGTCCACGGGTGTGGGAATCGTCTCCTCGCGCTGCTCGGTGCAGATGAAGGTCTTGGACTCGACACGCGCCACATCGGCAGGATTGGTCCTGGCCAGCCAGCAGTTGTCGTACTTGGGCAGGGCCACAATGGTGCCGGACTCCAGCAGGCTCTTGATGAGCATTTTGTTCTCCTGCTCGCTGCCATCGCAGATGTGCACTTGGTCGGGCTGGCACAGGGCGACTGCGTCCTCCACGAAGCTGCGGACACCCG